TTCAGTGTTTTCTGTGCTCATTGGTGTCTTCAAACTTTCTTCCTGTTCTGTACGTTTTGGGCCATTTAAATGTCCTAAATAATGATTCTATTAAGAAGTTATTGTATTTTCTATTGTCATTTCTTATGTTGGGTGTCATGCTTTCTCTTATTCTGATGAGTTTTTCCAAAAATTAGTTTGTTTTATTAGTCTTTTCAAAAATCCAACTCTGGGACTTATACCTTAATTTACTGTTTTACCATTTTATGATTTTTTGTTTGTTTGTTTTTTGTTCTCATTAATTTCTTTCTTTATTTTATTATTTTTTCTCCTTCTCAAGTTGAATACCATTTTAACTTTTTCTTGTTTAATAATAGCTGCAGTTATTAGTAATTGTGAGCTATGGCTTTTTTTCTGAATACTTTTTTATACATATCCCTTAAATGTTTAGATACAGTATTTTAAATAATTTCAAATTTGATTTGATCTTTTACTGGAGTTATTTAAAATCATACTTTTTTATTTCCAGACAGTTTGATATTTGTTGTTGTTGTTTTTCACATTTGCTATAAATGTCTAGTTTTACTGCCTTGCTGTCAAAGAGGGTATGGCCTGTACAACTTCTGTATTTTAGAGTCTATTTATGTTTTCTTAGGATCTAAAAAAATGTTTATTTTAATAAATATCCAGGAAACTGCAAAAGATGATATAATCTCTGAAGGGAACAAAATTCAAACTATATGTATTAGTTTGATCTTATTAATTATAATATTATAGCCCTTTCATTTTTACGTACTTGCGTCATTAAAGACTAAGGAAAGTGTTAGTCTCCCACTGCGACTGTGTCTGTTTCCCTTGTGTTTCTACAGTTTTCGCTTCTGGGTTTCAGTATGATGTTATTTGGAAAATTCTCTTTTAACATCGAAGGGAAAAAATATTTTCCCTTAAAGACTTGTATACCTTTGTGAATTTTACCTGATTTTGTTGTAACAGTTGTTTATGTCGAAATACATAGTTCAGTAAAATGTCTGTGTCTCTCTTTAAGCCCACAAAGGTCTTTCAGAAGCCTCTGTGTCTTAGGAAGATTTTGAAAGCTCTCTGTCCCCCCAGGGGGTAGGTTCTTCAGGGCTGCAAGCAAGGCGGCAGGGTGGGTGGAGGCATGAGAATGAGGGGTTTTGAGTACGTAACATTCCGGACTCCTGCTCGGAGACAGCCCCGCGCTCAGGTGAGCTCAGGGGACACCTGCCCTTCAGCTGGGTGCACGTGGCCTCCTTGGGACCAACACCAACACATTTCTCAACCCAAGGGGCGTGTTTCTCCCCCGGGCTCGCCTTCCAGGCAGAAAGCAGCGGAGGCTGTGTGCTTGTGTTCCTGGCTCTTGAGGGAAAAGCTCCTCTCGGAGGTTCCCTCCACCAGAAAAGAGTTTTCCAGAGCTGCTCGCACAGATTGTCCACATGGCAGAGGCTGTGCTGGGCCGAGGACCAGCTTCTCCAAACCGGTGTAGGAGGTGTGCCTCTCAGCCTACAGCTTTCATTCAAGTTCCTTTCTATTTTGAGCCTTCGCTCTACCAGGCTCATGAGAGTTGATCTCAGTCCATTCTGGGGGCCCCGTGCCCTCTTCTCCACATGTGAGTCTTCAAAGGTTCTGGGGAGCTTCTATATCCCCAAGGTGTCAGGGGGAAGGGTCCGTGTCTGCTGAGATGTCTCCTGTTCCAGCCCCTGCCCCGCCCCTGCCGCACCTCCCCACTAGCTGGGGAACACAGGGATCCCGCAGATACCCCCTGGCTGCGGAATTCTCCGTGAGCGGCCCCAGGCCCTCTCCGCAGCCGGCCGTGGTCGACAGCAAAGGTCTGGGTGGAGGGGCTTGTTCCTTGCACCGTGAGTCACGCCGTCTTGTGCTTCTCACCCTGGTCGCCACGTTCTGTTCTCAGCACTGTCCCCCTTCTTCCCAGTCCTCTCACTCCAGGGTCTCCTCCGTCTTCTGGTTCCTCCTACGAAAGCACCAGAGGCCTCTTTCTACAGCTGGGGATGGGGCAGGTGGTGGCCCTCTGTCTGCCACGCTGCCCCCCGCCTCTCCCACGAGGCCACGCCACGCGCCTCCCAGACCTGCCCTTGCCTGGCTGGCTCATGTCTCGGGGCTCCCCCGGCTCCTGCCTATCCCGCGGCCCGAAACCCTCTCCCTGTTCTAACCTCAGTCTCTTCGAAGGCCCAGGCCAAAGGCCTTGCCCCCGAGACCAAACTCAGCGGTGCCCAGGGGCCTTCTCTCGTGCTGCGTCCATCGCCCTTTTCAACGCCCGGCTCTTAAAGCAAGAATTTGTGTGTTCGTTTAACAAATACTTCTGAGCACCTTGTTGCCCAGACCCTGGGAACACAAAAGTGAAAAGACACTGTTATTTTCTTTCTCTTTTTGTCGTCGTTACTTTTTTCTCTCTCTCTTTATTCTTTCCTTTTTTTTTTCTTTTGGGACATAGCTATTTCCCACAGATCGGTGACCTTTCAGTGGAGGAGTGAGCTGCTAACGGAACTGATGGGGTTGGCTTGTCCCCCAGCAGGGCTCTCGCAGGTAGCCAGTAATGGGGGCCGGAGCACGCTCCACCTCTCCAGACCTGGGGTGACCTCAGGCCACCCTGAAGACCTTGTGAGACATCAGGTGTCATGACTCATAACCTCCAGAGGAACCCACAGTGACTCTACGCTCCCCTGCCTCCCTCTTCCCTCATCACAGCCCCTTCATGTCCAGTCTGACTTGTGTGTAATAGTTTTTCTAAGGGTGGTCTGCAGGCTAGCTGTTTCGGGGCTCTCTGGGGTTTCCAGCCCCTCTCTGAAAACCCTGTGTTAGGACCTTTGCAGTCCAACCACTTCCTTGTGCTAGACAGGATGACGGCCCCTCAAAGGTGTCCACGTGCTCATCCCTGAAACCTCAGAACATGTTACCTGACCCGGCAGAAGGGACCTTGCCTGTGTGATTAAGGTTACGGACCTGCAGACCGCGAGATGATCCTGGACTACCTGGGTGGGCCCACGCTAATGACATGAGTTCTTTTTTTTTTCATCCTCACCTGAGGACATTTTTGCATTTATCTTCAGATAGAGTGGGAGGGAGAGAGGGAGGAAGAGAGAGAGAGAAACATCAATGGGAGAGAGACACATCGAGTGGCTGCCACCCACATGACCCCAACCAGGGCCAGGCACAAACTGCAAACGAGGCACATTCCCTTAGCGGGAACCGAACCCGGAACTCTCCGATCCGCAGTCCGACGCTCTAACCACTGAGCCAAACCGGCCAGGGCATGACATGAGTTCTTAAAAGCAGAGAACCTTTCCCGGCTGGAGTCAGAAAGATAGATGATAGAATAAGAGTCAGAGAGATGTGATGCTGCTGGCTTTGAAGACAGAGGAAGGGTCTGCGAGCCAAGGAGAACGGGCAGCCTCTACAAACCGGAAACGGCAAGCTTCTCCCCTGGAGCCTTCAGAAGGGAATGCAGCCCTGCCGACTCCTTGATATTAGCCCAGCGAGACCCATGTGGACCTGGGACCTGTGGAAAGGTAGGATGATAAACTGGTGTTGTTTTAAGCCTGTTAGTTAGTTATGGTAGCAATAGAGAACCAATACACTCCTCACATGAGCTTACACACCAAGACTTGAGAACCTCTGCTGTATAAATCCACTGCACTGCCCAGTTTACACGATGGGAGGCCATCAATGAGACAGCTGGTGGCTGTAGCTCCTGCGGCCACCTGCTTCATTCAGTTCACCTTCTGGAGAGAACAAGGGAACGGATGGGTCTGCTGGCCCCGCTCCTCGCTTTGTACCCCAAGGCTATCGGTGAGATGCTGCCAGTGATGGACTGGCTATCCCACGTCAGCTTTGCCCACAGGGCCAGCCCAGGGTGTCAAACATGGCTGCCCCTATAGCCAGGGCTATGGGTGGGGGGGCAGCATGACCAGCGTCCAGGACAAGGTGGTCATGTAGGAGAAAGGGAGGGCAAGGAAGACTTGTACAGCAGGGGGCTACAGGGTTGAGACTGAAGGACGATGGTGTGTATTTGCCAGGACCCGAAGGCAAAGGGCTGAAGGCATCCCACGGACCTAAGTCAGCAGGGCTGTTTGGCGCAGGCTTGGTGTTGCTGGAGTGAACCCTGAGGTGGAGAAGGGGCCACTGAGGACAGCAGCCAGGTCTCAGGCTGGTCCATCGGCTGAGGCACCACGGCCTGGGGGGCAGGAACTCTGCGTGGGGAGGCGAAGTTGAAGGGCAGCCCTGGAGAGGGTGGGTCAGAGAGTTTTGGAGCTAGTGTCCCCTCTCCTTGGCCTGAATTCCCTGAGGCTAGAGTCTTGACGTCAAGGCTTGGCTAGAAAAAGTGGGGAAAGGGAGAAATGAGGGAGAGAAGGTTCCAGAGAGGAAGTTTTGATGCATAACAACACAATTGGGCCAGGAGGTTTAACTGGGAGAACTCTTTCGAAAAAGGTTCTTTTCTTGACGGCTTCTCATTTTTGGCAGAATTTAGAAAGCAAAATCTGAGTTTCCCATGCCTAAATGAGCTCACTGGTGTCTCAAAATATTGAATTGACAATAATTTTAAAAGTCCAACAAAGTTCTGATTTTGCCATTTTTAAAAACATCACCTTCTTTCCAAATAAGTATTTCGGAGCCAAGCTTGGCCTGTCTGTGGTGGGGAAGGCGGGCTGGGGCACAGCCACCTGACCTGCCTCTGGGATCTGGAGTGGACGCTGTGGGAACCCGGCAATGCCATGGCAGTGGGGGGGTCCGAGGTTAGCGGGACACTTCAGGCCACTGGACAAACAAGCGTTCTGCGCTGTATCGGTCCCTTCCCCTTCCCTACTGCAACACAGAGCAAGGAGAAGGGGTTCCATCCAGCACAACACTCCCCTCCACCAACCTTAGTATTTGCTTAAACAAATGTTTAGCTGAAATCTTATTAAAAACTTTAATAGCACCCCCCCACACACACAGGGAAGGCTGTGCTTTTCATCAGTTAAGATTTCATGTTTTCATTTCCTCATGGTGACACTGATGTGTTAGTTCTTTATTATGAGTTTACAGAGTGTTCAATACATAAAATACATTTCATTTAAAATACGTCCTGAATATCAGCAATTCATTGATTATTGCTAACATAATGTTCACATTCAAACCTTCAAGTCTGAGGAACCCTATGCACACACAGGACACGGTCAGTAGTCTAGAGTGCTGCTTACCACATACCATTGTCGTGTAAACGTCTTCAGAATAAGGGAATGATTCTAGCACGTCCACGTGAAAATAAATACTATTCTGTGGGTTCTTAGATCTCAACTACAGTCTGGTGTGTGCAAGCCCCCCCCCCACTTCCAGGTTTTAGGAGCCACAACATAAATAACAGCTGTAATATCACACAGTCCTCCCGACCTTCCGGGTGTCATATGGCCAGTCTACCCTGTTCACATGCTTTTCAAGAGGCCTTGGGCCCCCGTGGCTTCACTCCAGCACACTGCAGTGCCCTTGGCCTTGGGAAGAGCTTAGTGGTTCCACTCCCCGAGGCTGTCGTCGTCCTCGTCCTCCTCCTCCTCCTCCTCCTCCGAGTCGGCAGACACCTTCTTGATTCTCTGGAGGGCAGCCTTGATGCTCCTCTCCAGGTCGCTGGTTGGTTTACTGCTGGGGCTCAGGCCAGGGTCAGGGTGGACTTTCTTCAGTTTGACACCCTGCCTTATGGCAGCCAGGATGTGCTCGTTGACGGAGGCGCGGGGAGGGGCCACGGGGGGCTCTTCGACCTTGCGGAGAGGGGTTCTGCCACTCCTCAATGCGGCCAGCACTGCATCCATAGACCCTGAAAGCGAGCAAACAGCGAGCACTGTCAAGGAGTCATCCTCTCTCCCCGAGATGGAGACATTTCTGTGTTAGTTAAAGGTGCTGAGTCACTGTCAGTTAATGCCATGATATAAACAACGGTCACCATTCCAGTAAACAGATGTTTCACGATCTACAGAGCTCGACCATAAGCCCGCGTGAATCCGGGACAGTTCAATGGCGGACATTTTATCTTTTGCACTCATTTTCCACTGCTCAAGCCCCTCAACCGACAGGCACAGCCGCGCACCTCTCGTCAGGACGGAGGCTGGTACTTCCGCGCGATCCTGAGTGCCTGCGGGTGAATAGTCGGATCCCGTGTGCGTGACTTGCACACCTCTAAACCCGTATCTCCTCTGTTTCCCTTCCTACCTTGGAAAAACTCTATTTGAAAAATATACCCTGCAGTATTTCTCTAACTTCAGTCTGGGAAATTAGTCAGTGATGACTAATGAGTCAATGTGACAATGAAGCAAGTAGGTTTCCACACAATGAAAGGCTTAAAGTGAAACCTGAATCAGGAGCTCAATGAACCAGGCGGGGGTGGCACTGGCGCATCTGTGCAGTGTCTTCAGCCCCACCTGCGTCACGCCGGGGGAACATGCACGCTCTGTCTATCCTGACTGTGAAGTGCTGTCAAAACACACATTAGATCAGAGTTTCAAAGCCTTGGTGAGTAGAAACTATTTTTAACTCTGGCACTGTTAGACCCTGAGTGCGAGAAATCTGCCCACCCACCGAAGACGGGCAGGACTTGGCCACTAATTAGAGATCTTCCAGGGAGGCTTCACGATGAATCGTCGTTGCTGGCCCAGAACTGAGTGCCATTTGCTGGCTAACAAAACACTATTTCACTTTGGACTTAAACCTATAACTTGTTACTATGATACTCTCCTAGGAATAAGGAGACAGGTTTACTGGCAAGGACATTTTTTTAGTGCTAGTTCACACTTTCTTATTCTTTTCGGTGGAATGAGGCGCACAGGGATCTGCCCACATCCAAACTCCAGGCTAGGCACTCACGCTGCCCCGCCCCACTTAATGTTATTGCAAACCCCACAGTGGGGCCTTTTCATTTATACCTGCTTCTAGGTCGGTGATACCTTGAACTCAGAATAACCAGAATACTCAGTTATCCAGAACCACAGTTTGGAACTCTTCTATTTCTGTCATTCACATCACCTATCACAGTACCTGTGCATGTTCTGGGAGGAGGCACTCAAGCTTACTCTTGAAAATAAATGTATACAGGATTCTGTTAGGATCTCTCTCTCTCTCTCTCTCTCTCTCCCTCCCTCACATACACACACACACACACACACACACACACACACACACAGCATCAGGCTAGAGTCTGGGCACATTTAAGCCAGTGTCCTCAGTACTCAATGTCTAAACCTTAATTAGGATTATGAGTTAGAACTACAGCCCTCATATATTCAGTGTACTATATTTGCAAAGGTAAAAAGTGGTCCACTTTTTTTTTAACCACTTCATTTTAAAAAGATTCCCACAGGAAGGTTCCTTAGTCTACTGGTCAGTCTGCAAGAAGAGCCCTCCATATTCTAACTAGTTCCTCTGCAATTATTCCCGACTAATCTTCTGCTTAAGATGCAATAAGTTAATTCTGTAACAGACTCTGATGTGCAACAGTAAGTGTAATTCAAAGTAACAATGAATAACATGCAAATGGCAGAAATCAAACACATACTGAAGTCTTAAGAAACCTGAAATAACCCTGGCCGGTTTGGCTCAGCGGTTAGAGCGTCCGCCTGCGGTCCGGAGAGACCCGGGTTCGGTTCCCGCTAAGGGCATGTACTTCGGTTGCAGTTTGTCCCGGCCCTGGTTGGTCGTGCGGGTGGCAGCCACTCGATGTGTCCCTTTCACATCGATGTTTCCCTCTCTCTCTCTTCCTCTCTCTCCCTCCCACTCTGTCTGTACAAAAAATGGAAAAATGTCCTCGAATGAGGATAAAAAAAAAAAAAGAAACCTGAAATAGGTTGATTCTTTAACAGCTTCAGAGATCTCAAGTCGTGTGACCATTAAATGTATAGACGTGGTTTGTTCAAGATGAGGTCTCATTTATCAAACTGATTTAGGCTATGCTAACTTTGCAAAAAAAAGAGTAATATTTAAGGCAGCAAGTACTGGAATATTTTAAGAGTGCAGAGAGTTCTGGAAAGGATTTTGATGATGGCTTCTAAAGCCAGAATGCTCGACAACCCACTGGGAGCAGGTACAGAATTCCGGCAGATTACCTGGACATTCAGAACTGCCTGAGGAATCACACGGTCTTTCAGCAGGTGACTCACACACTAGAGGAAGTGGCTGATCATCTTTGACTGAAGTCCTCACAAGTAAATTCTGATGATTTGCAGATTGAGAAGAAAAGGAGGACGCAGGTAGAGGCGGCGGTGGTGGTGGTGGTGGAGGCGGAGGAGGCGGAGGAGGGGGAGGAGGGGGAGCGGGAGGAAGTGGTGGCTGCAGTGACAATTCCTCCCTGGATTTGGAGTGTGTTTGGTCTCCACCTGGAACAAAACTCTGGACAGGGGTGTTCCCAGGACAGTCTTGAATCTCGGGGGCTCTCACACTGCTGACGGCAGAGGGAGCACTCCTGGGTCTCCTGGAGGAGGGGTGGGTCACTGTCTCCGTCTGAGAAGTCCGCGGGGTCTGCTGAGGAAGTGCGCCTGGCAGGTGTGCAGCCTCAGGTGCTGGGCCAGGGGTCTTTGGCACAGACCCACCTTGACATCTCTGCAAGTGGAAAACTGTTGTGAGAAACTTGCCACAAATGCAAACCATTAAAATGCTGGAGCTTTCTGTAAACAATGAACACGGAAGAGTCTCTGCAGGGACTGTGCTAGTTCCCAGAGTGGCTCCTCTCCACTTTGTGCAGACTCCTACTAAGTCAATCTAAGAATAGCATTTATATCCTTTCATAGAATGCTTTCTCTGTAACAAAACAGACATGGAAGGATACAAATAGATAAAAATATTCATCATATTTTTAGTATGAAATATCAGAAACTAAATATAAACCATCGGAAGTTAGCTCAAAAAATTATAGTGAATTAATTTAAAATATTAGGCAGTCCGGCCGGTGTGACTCAGAGGTTGAGCGTCGACCCTGCACCAAGAGGTTGCCAGTTTGATTCCTGGTCAGGGCATATGCCCAGGTTGTGGGCCTGATTCCCAGTGGGGAGCATGCAGGAGGCAGCCAGTTGATGTTCTCTCTCATCGATGTTTCTATCTCTCTCTCCCTCTCACTTACTCTCTCTCAAATCAATAAAGGAAAAAAAAATTTTTTAATAAAATATTAGGCAGCTACAAAAAAATCATAAATAGTATAAAGTCTGTGAAACAGCCTGAAAAAACACAGATGATGCAGTATTAAATTTATAACTATGCAAAAAACAGATCTGTGGAAAATACCAGCAGAGTAGACCTCAAAATGATAGTTATAACAGGAATTATGGATGTTTCTTTTCTCTAATTTTTAGGTTTATAGTAAATTTTATAATTTAAAAATGTGAATTAAAAATAGTTCTGGATGCCCTGGCCGATTTTGCTAAGTGGTTAGAGCGTCGGCCTGCGGTCCTGAGAGACCCGGATTCGGTTCCCGCTGAGGGCGCATACCTTGGTTGCAGTTTGTCCCCAGCCCTGGTCGGTTGTGCGGGTGGCAGCCACTCGATGTGTTCCTTTCACATCGATGTTTCTCTCTCTCTCTCTGTTCCTATCTCTCCCTCCTACTCTACCTGAACAAAAAATGGAAAAATGTCCTCGGGTGAGGATAAAAAAAAAAATTGTTCTGGTGTCTCAGGTGTTCATTTGATAAAGAAAAACCTAACCTTACAAAGAACTAATCTTGAGGGGTGGGGATTATTCCTTAATGAAAGCATTGATTAACCAATAAAACACAAAATATTAATACTATGTAGCCATTAAAAAGACCCAGAGCTATACATATGAAAATAAATACATTTCAAAAACATAATTTAAGTGAAAAAATAAATTGGCAGAGGATGTATGCAATAGGACACTACCATTGTAAACTTAAATAAAAAACATTGCAATTTAAAATACTTAAGTTTATGTGTAAACTTAAAACACACACAAAATCGCAATTCATGATAAACTCCATATTTCTGTCTCTCCCATGTTTTTCTAAAGCAAACAGCGAAGCAATGGCTACAAGCCCCTCTGACTGATGCAGCTGCCGTCCTGCACTTCTTTGTTCAGAGAGCAGGCCAGTAGAACAGAATCCTAGAAACTGGCCAAACTCCAGGGGTCACCCAGCCATCCCGATGTCCGGGCTCCCCAACCACCCAAGCACTCCCTCCTTGCAGCTGACATTGCTGGGCAGTCTGCGTCCCCGAGGGACCACCCAGAACAAATGAAAACCTTTATCTCCCAGCAGCCCTTGAGATATTTAAAAACAACTTGTCTGGCTTCACAAGTATCACATACCACATGATTTCATTTCTAGTCTTCTCCTTGTTCTTCCTTCATTCCAAATGTGCTCAGATTGGCTTTGTCCTCTTTAACTGTGGCATTTCTTGGCTTCCCTCATCCTACACAGGATGCTACTGTTCTTTCTAAACTCATGAATTTTTCTGCAGCTTCATCCCAAGTGTTTCACATTAAACCAAAGGCAACTAAATTCTCAAGGTTCTTTCCCTACATTTAAATAACACACACACACACCCTCCTACCACCCCCTGTATAAGTGCATTTTTAGACCAAAAAATCTGAAACTTAAACCAGTTTGAGATCAATGTGTTAGACTTTTTAAATTAATTGTTCCAGTTTGCTGAGAGCTTCGGTGGCCTGCTTCTGCCACCTTCTGTCTGTCTCAGCTCCCACCTCCACACCAGCTCTGTTTGGAAGTCGATCACCGATCTATCTGACTGGCTCAGGGCTAAGGAGCTGGCTGGCCTTCCTCGACTCCCTTCCTCCATGCTCATTCTGTTCTGCCAATCACCCTCTGCTGGCAGCTCACCAGGTGCTCTCTGGCTCATCTGCCCTCTATTCCACTGACACTCACGCAGCTCCCCTTCAGTGCGCCCCTCCTACTTCCATTCACGCCCAGGACCCCGTCCAGCATCTCTGGTGGTGTGCTGGGCATCAGTACTTTTCAGAAGCTCCCCAGGAGCTCTGATGTGCTCCAGTTGGAGAATCCCTGTTGTGGCCCGGGGTTAGAAAGACATAGCTCTGTATAACCCTGAGCTAAGTGGTATAACCACTCTGAGCTTAGCTTACGCATCTGTAAAGTGGTGACAACAGTATCTTACAAGGTCGTTTCAAAAGTTAAATGAGAATGTAAGAGCCTAGCACTGTGCCTGGGATATGGGAGGCACTTGGTAATGGTCAGAGTAGTAAGTGCCTCAAAAAAAAAAGATGATGTTGGTATGTCATGATTTTTCACTCCAGTAGCCCCTACTTTTCTGGCTGGGATCACATAGTACACCTTGAGTACCTTATTCCAGAGGCCTGTCTATTTTCTCTTTGGGGACAATAATAAACATCATTCTTTATGATGATGGTGCGTGCATAGATGTGTGATGAGAACAGGTTTATGTTTTATATTCAACAAATTTAAGGTTATTTTTAAATAAACTATTTACTTTTTAAAAAAACCACCACTCAGGAGGGGAGAACATGTGGCAATGTTAAAACATCTCAATATTCTAATATTCTTGGCTTTTATATACTAAAAATAATGGCATTTGGGGAACCTTTTGTGTTCCAAACGATCTGCCCATGCTTCATACTTCTCTCTGAGGACAGGTGATCCTGATGTATTTCCCCAGAAGACACAGAGGCAGGGCGCTATTCTGGGACTTACCTCTTTAAATGCTCTCAGTCGTTGCAGTGTCTTCTGGCGTTCTTGGTTTATCCATTCTTTTTTCTTTTGCTCCTCTTCTTTTATCTTGTCTCTTTTCTATATTTAAACAAATATGTGTTTGTAAATTCCTTAAAATAAAAATCTTGAGAGAGAAAGGGACTATAACCTGACATTATCGCTCCCCGGACCACCACTGTGTCTGCAGGCCTGGGCCACAGTCTCCCCCAGATTGAGGCAGAGCAGTGGTCCTCTGGAGGTCAGTTTGCTCAGTGGTTAGAGCATCAGCCTGTGGACCAAAGGGTCGCAGGTTCAGTTCTGGTCAGGGGCACATACCTGGGTTGCAGGTTTGATCCCCAGCCCTGGTGGGGGTCATGTGGGAGGCAACCAATCGATGTGTCTCTCTGAGGTCCAGAATAGTGGAGCTCCAATGTCCACACAGTTAAGCTGGTGTGTCACATCATGCAAATCTAAAGTATTTTTCTTTAACTACTCACCATCTGAATATTATGGTGCTGATGAAAATATTTTACACTTTCTTCAGCCTTTTGCAACCGGAGCCGATGATTTTCTTTGCATTGATCCTGGTGGAATAATACAAATCACCTACCTGGTTTTACTATTACCATGGGCTATAGCATAAGAGGTTAAAAGACAAAAGCATTGCATTTGGGCTGCTGTGTAAGGCATTCATGAGTAGGAGTTTCTAGAGGCTCAATGGTACTGCTGCCTCCTCAGCTATGTGGTAAGGTAAGGGCTGATGGGTACTTGCAGGTATCAGTTGTGCCCGATTAGAAGGGCCAGATTTAGTGCTTTAAGAGATGAAAAAGAGAATTCTCCAACCAAGGGGAAATGGGAGGATATGCAGGAGTCCCCCATTCTTAAATGAGATGTGTCCGAAGACTCTGTTTCAATGCTGTTGTTTTACGCAAATTTCCCCATAATGTTACAAATAGTAATTATATTTCCAAACATACCTAAATAAGCATAGTCAACCTACAAATACCTGAAAATCACATTAAAAACTATATTGCAATAATGCTTAACCATTCTTAGCATGTTGCTTTTTTTTTTTTTAATCTTCACCCAAGGATACTCTTCCTTTGCTTTTTAGATAGAGTGGAAGGGAGAGAGAAAGAGAGAGAAACATCAATGCAAGAGAGTGAATTTTAGAATTCACTATAGCTGATTAGAAGTTTTTATTTATTAAGATTTAAAAAATAGATTATTAAGATTTAAAAAACCCGGCTGGTTTGGCTCAGCGGTTGGAGTGTTGGCCTGTGGACCAGAGAGTCCCGGGTTTGGTTCCCGCTAGGGGCACATACCAAAAAAAAAAAAAGAGAATATAAAAAGAATATATAAAAGAGAATATAAAAGAGAATATAAAATAGAGAATATAAAAAAGAGAATATAAAAAAGATTTAAAAAATACCAGTGTATGCAATAGGCATTCAACAAATAGCTAGAGATTATGATAAATGCTTAAATCCCAAAAGAAACAATCATTTTAAGAAAAATTTTGCAAATATTGTAATTGCAGCTACTGGTATCCATATCAACACGCAAAAAACAGGGTAAGAGCTTTGTTTTTTCTACCTCTTTATCTTTCATGGAGGAAGAACTGCCTGGAAGGGGAAAGAAAGCAAGGGGCCCTGGCGCCCACCTTTCTGCTCCTGAGATGGGCTCTTCTGGCGCAGATCCTGCCCCGCTGGTGCTCCAGCTGCTGACACTGCCGGCTGAGCTCTTTCATCTGCAGACTCTTACCGCTCTGCAGCCCCATCACATGATCAATGACTTCGAGTTCTGCTGGACTTTCACACGGGTCATAATAGATAACTTCATCCTGTTTATCTAAAACAAAATTTAATGATTTTTTAAAGACATGTTTTTATTAATAAAATGCATAAAATTTTTTTTTAATGTAAGGAAAATAAAAATCATGTGTAATTCCCACCACCCAAGGAGAGCCACTATTAACATCTATGTATGAGTGTGTGTACAAAAACACACACACACACAACTTATATAGCTACATATATCAATAAAACAATTCTAAGAGGACGTTTTCCATATGATAGAAATGTAATTTTAATGGCAACACAGTATTCTCTAACTTAAACAATCTCTGTTGTTAGAATGTTCCATTATTATAAATTTCACTGTGATGAACATCTCTGAATATAGATCTTTGTGCACATTTTTTTTTATCCTCACCCGAGGACATTTTTCCATTTTTTGTTCAGATAGAGTGGGAGGGAGAGAGAGAGGAAGAGAGAGAGAGAAACATCGACATGAAAGGGATACATCGAGTGGCTGCCACCCCCACGACCCAACCAGGGCCAGGGACAAACTGAAACTGAGGTACGTGCCCTTAGCAGGAACTGAACCTGGGTCTTTCTGGCCCGCAGGCTGACGCTCTAACCGTTGAGCCAAACTGGCCAGGGCTGTGCACATTTTTTATTACTTCCTTAGCAGGTGAATATTTAAGACTCTTGGTAACTAACATCAAATTTCCCTCCAGAAAAGCAACTTATGTTCTACCAGCAGTATATTATTAAGGTGCCTTAATGATATATAATCTTGATTACACGTTGATTTTTTAAAAAGACATGCATGTTAACTGTTACAGAATCAACCCCCTATAGAAGTACATAAAATAAAAAGTAAAATTTTCGCCTGGCAGGTGTGGCTCAGTGGTTGAGCATCGACCCTGCACCAAGAAGTTGCTGGTTTGATTCCCAGTCAGGGCACATGCCCAGGTTGTGGGCCCGATCCCCAGTGGGTGCATGCAGGAGGCAGCCAATTGATGTTCTCTCTCATTGATGTTTCTATCTCTCTCTCTCCCTCTCCCTTCCTCTCTCTCTAAAATCAATAAATAAAAATAAATATATTTTTAAAAAGTAAAATTTCCTTCTTCCTTTCTCATACCTTTGGAATCCCAACCCTCCAGAGGAAAACATTAACAATTTGGCATGCATCCTTCCAGATTAACTTTTTTAAAATAAAATTTTTCCTAAATATGTAAAATGCTTATAACCTGAAACTATTACAAATTTTTTTGAATACCTAGGATTAAATTAAATGTTCAGGATCTGCATAAAAAAATGATAAAACTTGGAGAAACTTTAGGAAAAAAAGACTTAAGTAAATGGAGAGACATACCATGTTGCTGGATGGGAAGAGTCAAAATTGCAAAGACGACAATTCTCCCCAAATTAATCTCTAATTTTAAGCACAATCTCAATAAAAATTCCGAGTTTATTGCTTTTTGTTTTGTTTTGTTTTGAACTTGTCAAAATGTTTCTAAAGTTCATCTGGAAGAATAAAGGAGAACAGTCAGAAAATGTGTGGAACAGTAGAGTAATAAGGGAGGTGTGCGCTTTACCAGGTATTGAGATGGACCTCCACGATACAATGGGAGGAGTTTGGTACCGGGACTAGAAGCCACTCACAAATAAATGTAATAATTCTGGATATGAGTAGTTAGCAAGTCAAAGCAGTAGGGGAAAATGGTTTCAGAATCAGTGACTGGGACTGCTAACAACTTGGGGGGAAACATTAGATTCCTATCCCACATCAAAATAAATTTTGTCTGGATTAAACAGCTAAATGTTCCTTTAAAAATTATAAAAGTACTAAAAGAAAAAAGATAAGTGAAATATTGGCACAATTTCGGGATGAGGAGGACTCTGCCAGGCATGCTACCAAAAGCAGAAACCACAGATTTCTTTGCCAGGTATGACACACACAGCAGAAAAATCATAGATGTGACTTTGTAAAAAATAAATATTTCTGCAATGTAAGAAAAATCAAGTGGGGAGAATTTATTTGCAACATATGACAAATTAATAGAGTAACAGGATTAATATATAAAGGAAACATTCCAAAGAAAAATTGGCAAAGACCGTGAATAGGCACTTAAAAAAAATACAAATGGCCAGTCAACATACAAAATTGAGTTCAACATCACTTGTAACAAATAAACGAAAATTAGAAGGTACCATTTCTTTTTATCAGTTAGGCAAGAATTGGAAAGAATGGGGAAACAAGTGTTTTCATAATCTGCTGATGGGAGTGTCATTTTGTACAATCATTATGTAGTATGAAAGTTAGAAATTAGAAAATAACAGAGGTGAGGAAAAATATATATCAAATGATGTTGTGTTAACACATATTTGTCAAATGTAAATTCTGCATCGTCCTTGACCCAATGATTCCATCTTTAGAAATGTATTCCAAGCAAATAATCTGTCCTCTACACAAACAAAAACACATGTTTAAAGGATGGTTCTTCACTACAGTGCTGTTCACAACAGTGAAAAACTGAAAATCACAGTCAGTATATCCATTTAATGGAATACTATGCAGCCATTAAAATGTTTGAAGATTTTTATTAGTTACTGAAATGGAATGATGGTTATTATATATTAAAGGAATAAAAGGATACTGAACAGAATAGACAGCTTTAGTTGAAAAACTGATACCTATATACATCAGGCTACAAAGCTAATCAGCAAATTGTTATCACTACGTATCTCTAACTGATGGAACTGGGGTAATAATAGTTTTCCTTTATTTTGCTGTATGTTTAACAATGAATATATTACTTGAATAATAAAAATACTGAAGGGAAACTTTTGGAAATTTCAGTAGATATTTTAGACAGTTTACAAGAAGTAACTGATAATATGGTCTGTATTTCCTTAAATGTGTAATTTAAACATTTTAATATATATTTTAAATATAATATAAAATTTACCTTTGATAAGTCTTTTAATAGAGTCCAACTGTGTAATAAGTAGTATTTCTTCATATTTTAATATCTCGAATTTAACCTCATATAGTTCTAGTTGAACTTCATAATATTGTATTTCTAGTTTGTCTACAACATCTATATATTTTTCTTGTTCTGGAAGATCTTCCATCTTGTTTTCATAAAAAAATAAAAGCAAGATAAAATATTTAGTATACTGAAAACAAACTCTAGAAGCATTTGAGCTATTTTCTATTCCTTGCTCAGTACCAAATATAAAAAAGCAAATCGAGAAGAAACACTCTTCCATTTCATTTAATGGAACAAAAATGCCCCATTAAACATTTTTACAAATACTTTATCTCATCCTTGAAACATATGAAAGCATTTTAAGTTTTGAGAAAAATAAATGGCAATGAAATCTTTATAGTGTTTTCCGCCCTTTTTTTTTTTTTTGGTTAATTCTCACCCATTGATTTTTTAAAGAGTGGAAAGGAGGGAGTCGGGGAGGGAGGGAGGGAGAGAGAGAGAGAGAGAAACATCAGTGTGAGAGAGACACACGATCAGTTGCCTCCCGCAAGCACCCTGACCAGGGCCGGGGATTGAACCTGCAACCCTTCAGTCTATAGGCCAGTGTTCTACTTGCTGAGCCAAACCGGCCAGGGCCAGTGTTTTCTGCTTTAATGTCATAACATTGCAGGAAGAAATTTAAGTGACTATGATTCTACAATGAAGCACCTCTGATTATTCTAAAGTTGTGCTGAAAATATTGCTTGGTTGACTTTAATGTATATTACAGGCCCTGGCCGGGTGGCTCAGTTGGTTGGAGCATCATCCCATACACCAAGAAGTGGTGAGTTCAATTCCCAGCCAGGGCACATACCCAGGTGCGGGTTTGATCCCTGGTCGGGGTTTATGTGGGAAGCAACCGAGCAATGTTGCTCTCTCACATGGAGGTCTCTGTCTCTCCTCTCTCCTTACCTTCCTTGCTCTAAATATCAATAACAAATAATAATAAAAGAAGCTTTAAAGTATATTACTTATTTCAGTACTGAGCTCAATGTTATAATCAAGTGACTGCTACAACATAATATTTCAAAACCGTCCTGAGCAAAGGGAAACTTTATGGCCAACCTTCCCTAGTCTTGAAATTCTCATCTACTAGAAGACAGTGTTGGAATAAGAAAGGATGCTCTTTAACAATGGCTGGAAGGAAAAATATCTGAAATCAAAGTCTATTTCTAAAACAAAGTCACCTTCATTTTGTCTTACCTTTCCCTGAATTTCAGCTCTTTTGTGATTTAAACACAACTCTTTGGCTCTCATGAGCTGCAGTGTCTCCCGAGCTAACATCAGCTTGAGTCTTTCTAACCTGGGAGTTGCTGTGGCCCAGGCAGCCTGGCCAAATCTCTTCTCATCCTGTTCCATTTGTTTCTGCATCCCTGTCAGATTACAGTGAATAAAATAAAACTTAGTTACAACTCATTAAAAAGGGAAAAACTTATCCTGAGCTTATTCTTTATGGCCTCCCATATTACCTGCAAAAGAAAATTTTAATGACTTTTTGTTATCACACAAACAATCATGGTCCTTGGTATAAAATTTTAGATACTTTTTTTTAAAAAAAGAGCAAAATAATCATGAATCTCACCTACTTGCAATTATTTCTTACATTTTGGTGCATATGCTTCTAGACTAGACTGACAAGGTTATATAGTTTGACAAAAAAAAAAAACCCTACAAAATCAGTCTTCTTTATAGGGTGGGGTGAAAGTAGGGTTACAGTTGTTCATACAGAAAATAATACAATAATTAATAAATAATAATACAAGGATAAGCTTTGTTTTGCATACTTGCAACTATAAACCTACTTTTGCCTAACCCTGTGTATCTTGTTTATTTCACTTACTGTATTAGGGATTCTTGCCATTCATAAAGCAGAGAATCATGCTTAGTAGCTGCCTGGTACTCTGCCCTATGAATGATCTAACTGATTGACAAACAGTGCTTCTTCCCCTTTGGAACTACCATCAACAGTGATTTGAGATGAGAAACATCCTTTACCCAGCGCACAGGGGCCAGCATGGTCTCATCCTTCAGTCTCGCCTGCACACCTTACCCCATGCTCCCCACCCACTGTCCCAGCCCCATGGTGTTCTCAGAGTTCTCACGCTTGCCAAGCTCCCTCAAACCAGGAGGCCTCTGTCAGTGCTATTCCTTCTCCCTGGAACACTCTTCCCTCACCTGCTCCCTCAGATTCCATTTACCCTTCGGCTGTCAGGGCCACTGCCACTTCTCAGAGGCCCTTGCTGACCGCTCCGATGGAGCCTAACTCTTCTCTCAGGCTCAGGGGCCCATGTTTATCTTCATGAGCCTTGTTGCCACTTCCCTTTCCCCATGTGTCTGGATGCACACGTAGCTAAGATGTATCTCCCCTCGGCAGGCTGGAGTGTCTGTCTATGCTTATCTTTATACTGGACCCCCGGACCTAGTGCCTAGTACTAAAGAGACACACAAATGTTTTTTTTGAATAAAATTAAAATTACATGTATGTTAGTGTAGCATTTTATATTACCTGCTAATGCTTTTACTGTTTCTTTAAAATAATTCACTGTTATATCCTGAATAGAGACTATAGCTTCTTCAGCCTGTCTGGTCCATTCTTGAGCTTCCTTCTTCAGGGCCACTATCCTTTTAGGACCCAGATCATCCTCATCCAAGGATTTCTATAGAAAGAACAGAAAACCGAACAGTAAGAAATAATAGTAACGTACAGACATTAGGAAATGGAAAGAAAATTGGTCACGGATTATTCCAGCTGCATTTATTGCTACTTCTCAGTCAATAAAGTCTCATGAATTTGGCGATTTCTTTATTGAGAATGAATAAGGCTCTAAGTTGGCCACTACCTGGAAGACAAAGGGATACTCTGGGGCATAAAGGGAAAATAAACCCTACTTTTACTTTGCATTACTAGGGTAACGTTCTCTGGAGAGGAACGCTGTCAAGTTGTGTTTCTCTATTAACAATGATGCACAGCTGTTTAAATGAGCTCTGTGTTGTTCTTTTCTGAAGGGCAAAAATAATACAATAACCCCAAAACAATAAAATCTATACATTCATTATTATGACATGTACTGTATCATCCAGCATCCAATTCTTCTGCAAAACTAGTAATATAAGAAATATACTCAAGTAAGCCGTTAAGAAAATGTAAATCAAAACTATGATAAGATAGCCCTTCATATCCATTCAGAAGGCTATAATAAAAAAGACAGATAATAACAAGTACTGGCAATGATGTGGACAAACTGGAACCCTCATTCACTACGATTGGGAATGTTAAATGGAGCGTTTCCTTTGGTAAACAGTCTGGCAGTTTGTTTCAAAGGTTGAGCATGGAGTTACCATGTAACCCCAGCAATTCCACTCCTAGGCAAATGCCCAAGAGAAATGAAAACACATGTCCACTTAGAAACTTGTACACAAATGTTCATAACAGCATTATTCATAATAGCTAAAAAGTGGAAACAACCAAAAGTCCATCAACTGTTAAATGGATAAGTAAAATGTGCTATTTCTTTATAGTGAATATTATTTGGCAATACAAAGAAATGAAGTTCAGATACATACTACAACATGGATGGACCTTGAAAACATTATGCTACATGAAAAGAGCCAGACACAAAGGACTACGTATTGCGTGATTCCATAGAATGTGAAATATCCAGAACAGGGAAATCCACAGAGGCAGAAAGTAGCCTGGTGGTTGCCTAGGGCTGGGGAGAAATGGGGAGTGAGTGCTAACGGGTACAGAGTTTCTTTTGGGGGTGATGAAAATGTCCTGGAATTAGACAGTGGTGATGGCTGCACAACTCTGAATATACCCAAACCCACTGAATTGTGCACTTTAAATAGATGAGTTGTATGGTCTGTAAATTATATCTCAAAAAAGCTGTTATTTAAAGAAAGAAAACTATATACAGGAAGTAAAGATTATCCAAATAGACATCTGAAATAATGAATGAACAACTTTCTCTACAGGTTAGAGTGGCATGAGTTTCATATACACATGATACTGTTTTTACAGTACAGTAGCCTAGGGAGATCACAAGTGTGGAAGGATAGTCCAGTGCAGGGGACAGAGATCAAGCGATCACTCTGATGTCTTCTCTTTCCAGTGGGGTGAGACCCAAGGAAAGCTACTGAAACCCTGTGGGCTCTAGATTAATTTGTAACACACAGTGAGAATGCCTGTTCTAACTAGTGTCACAGGACTCAAGGAAATAAGTGATGACAGCGTCTACTAAAGTTTAAATTACTGAATTACAATTCCAAGCCTTGCTACTTAACGTGTCATCTTATTTCTGAGAAATCTCCACGTGTCCTTACAGGCAGAAAGTAAGCTAAATATACATCACATCAAAAACAAGTCATCAGCAAAGAATGTGTTTAACCCTTGAAGATCTGCAGAAAGCTGAATGTATTAAGAAGATGACCCCCCCAAAAAAAAGAAGATGACCTATGTAAAACATCTTCATTTTTTATATCACTTTTTAAAAATAAGACTTCTACAATATCATTTAAACATAAGGGTGAACCTAACAGCCTAACACAGATTGAATCTTAAATGGGACTAAAGAAATGACATGTGACAAATAGTAAATCAGATAAGGTAAAAACAAAGAAAACATACCCAAATATCAAGCTTACATGAAGTTGCAACTTCTCGCATATCTCTAAATGGCTTCAGCAAATACTGGTAGAACATGGTTGCCACGGTAACGAACTCCTGATAGGCTTCATCTTCTTCTCGATAAACTTCCATTAATGCTACCATGGTGTTGGCTCTTTCATGGCCTTGAAGAATCTGGAAGGCAAAAAGTAAATAAAGCTCAAGTACAGCCAGTATTTGTAAGATCAGACCAAACAGACAAAATGTAAAAACCTTAATGTTCTAAACTTCAGCACATCAAGGAGGAATGCAAAGTTCAACATTTTTTCTCAATTGCGCACAAAGTACACAGAGAAAAGGCCCTGAGAGACTTCATCAAATATTAACAGCGGTTAACTCTGGGTTGTAGACTTCGGGGGATGTTTCTTCATCACTTCTCTGATGATAAAGGTTTCGTGATGCTGTATTCCTTTGTAAAACCTCATGAGGACATTACAGAGGTGCCTCCAAATACTTCTCCGGCGTACAGACGCCCTCAGCTCCCCAGGTTAACAGTACCATCCGGCCCCCAGCAGGTGGATGCATTTAGAGTTACAACGGTGGCTCTAGTGTCTGCAGAACGCTCCTCGTGCATACAGGGTAGAAAATGAACTGCGCTCTGATATAAGTGAACAGGTCCCCTCTCTGGGCCTCCCGCACACCGCGCAGCGTCCCCTGGCTGCTCCGGGCAGGTGAACGGCACCTGTGAGCCTGCGCCCACTTCTCCGTATCAGACGATGAACTTGCTCCTCCGCAGCCCGGGTCTCGTGGGACACCCTAACTCCCGCCCTTGTCCCCCACCCCGACGGCCCAAGGATACTCCGAGGGGTCCCTCTGCGCACCTGGCGCAACCGTGCACCCGCCTCGGCCCGCCGCGCGCGCAGGGCGCGCTCCCGGAAGGCGCGCGGGCTCTCGCAGTCGGGCGCGCCGCCGTCGGCCGGAAGTAGCGCGTCACGCACGGCCGCGCCGCCGCAGCCGTCGGCCGCCAGGCCCAGGTAGCGCTCCAGCCGCGCGCACAGCTCCTGCAGCGCCGCCTCCCCGGGGCCCGCGCGCGTCGGCCACACGAACGCCCACAAGCCCCAGGCGCCGCCGCCCGCTTCCAGCTCCGGTGGCAGCGGCGGGAAGTAGCACTCCAGCGGCGGCCACAGCGCCGTCAGCTGCCGGTGCGCGCCGCGGAGCCCGGCGGCCGACAGCAGGCCGGCCCAGCTGGGCGGAGACCCCGGCCGGCTCCCCTCGCGCCGCCGCTGCCGCTGCGCTGTGCGGTCGTGACAGGTCACCGCGAACTTGCCCTCCGCGTCGTTCCAGGCCACGAGGAAGCGCAGCTGGTGCCGCTCGGGCTCGGCGAACAGGTCCTCGCGGACCGGCACCCATCCCTCCAAGCTGTCGGGCTGCTCGTCCTCCATGGCGCCGCGGTCAGCACCCCGGCCTCCTCGCAGCCCCTCGACAGGACTGCCCGCGCCGCGACATTTTTCGCTGGACTGTCATCGCGTCAGCGCCTCACCGACGCCCTCCTGCGCGTCTTTTAATTGGCTGTGTGCTGTTGGGAGGCTTCCAGCGGCGTCCGGGATTGGCCGGGCCCCAGAGGGCGGGTCCTCGGCAGCCAATGAAAAGGCCCGTGTTGGTCTGGGACCCGGCCCTCGGAGTTCATCAGTGACGCAACGTCGCCCGGAGTCCGGGAATTCCCAACTTGCCGAAACTTTCCCACCTGTGTACACACTGCGGTGGAAGAGGCACTTGTCGAAAGAACGCGTTGCCGTGAACCCTTGAGAACCGGGCCCCAGCGGATTCCGTCTTCTGCGTCGGGCCTCCAGTGAATTTATGGTTCCTGCTCTCAAGGAAGGTGCAGACTTCCTGGAGAGATCAAGCATTAAATTAAACGTAAGAGCTACTGACGTACAGCCACTGGGTACGAGCCAAAAATGTATTGCTCTCAATTCAGCAGGCTTTTGTGGAGGGTCTGCTGTGTGCCTGGGTAGGGGTGGGGCAGAGGGGGACATCGGAAAAGTTGCACTTCGTCTTCACAGCACGTTTAAATAAAGCTGTGTGCTGCCTCTTCGTTTTAGAAATAAGGACCCAGGCCCAGAAGAGAAACGTCGCGAGATACAGAGACGCTCCAGCTAAAGAAGACCACCTGGCTGCTGAAGGCCTCTAAGAAATGGGGAAATATAGTCTGCATGTGAGGATGGAGTGTGGGGTGGAGCTGGACCAGCTCGGGCAACGGGGAAGACGACAGCCCCGGTCTCTGCCCAGGTATGTACCGGTCAGCTCCCATCCTATCAGTGCACTGAGAGAGATGAAAGGGGGTGAGGAGGTCCTAGGGAGCCAAGATTGGAACCCTTCACCAAAACAAGACTTGTGAAGGCTTGATTCAGGAGCTGTTGAAGCAGATTTTTGAAGGTTTTGAGCTGGGATAGCCTTGAATCAGATTTGCACTTGCTGTTATGTCCAAAGTAAACAGCAAAAACAAGACAAAATGAAACAGGACCAGGCGGAAGCTATGGTTAGCACATATCTTTCCCTGAAGATGACCCCAGGGCATCTAGCTGTGAAGTTGCCTCTGTCTGAAGGTCCCCCCACTTTAACACCTGTGTGGGACTATGGTCCTTGGACTTAGAACTGCTGCTCTCTTTCTGTCACCCAGTCCTCTTGGACAGAACCTTTTAGCTGATGTGTTTTATTTTTCTTCAGACTATTTTTTAATATATTACTTTAGCTAATGTGATTTACTTATAATTCTTTAATAGTCTGTTTAGCCCTGGCCGGTTTGGCTCAGCGGTTAGAGCGTCTGCCTGTGGTCCAGAGAGACCCGGGTTTGGTTCCCGCTAAGGGCACGTACCTCGGTTGCAGTTTGTCCCCGGCCCTGGTTGGTCGTGCGGGTGGCAGCCACTCGATGTGTCCCTTCACGTCGATGTTTCTGTCTGTCTCTCCCTTCCTCTCCCTCCCTCCCACTCTATCTGTACAAAAAATGGAAAAATATCCTCGGGTGAGGATTAAAAATAAATAAATAAATAAATAAAAGCTATAAAGCAAAATAATTCAGAAGAAATAAACGTGCTCTCATTTTATGTATGTGTATGTGTATATACATACCTACATATATTTGCGATTATGCTGTAATGATATTTTACATACTCTTTTTCTACTTACAAAGATATTGCGGGCATTTTTCACACTTAAAAAAATTGGCATCTACATTGTTATTCTGTTTTTTTTTTTTTTTTAATATCCTCACCCAAGTACATTTTTGCATTCATCTTCAGATAGAGCAGAAGGGAGAGAGATGGGAAGAAAGAGAGAAACATCAATGTGAGAGAGACACATCAAGTGGTTGCCACCCACACAACTCCAACCGGGGCCAGGGACAAACCACAACCAAGGTATGTGCCATTAGTAGGAACTGAACACGGGACTCTGGTCCGCGGGCTGATGCTCCAACCGCTGAGCCAAACTGGCCAGAGCTATATTGTTATTCTTAAATCTTGCCAATATTGACTTGACTACTTTGATTTATTTAATAAAGTCCCCATGATAGATTTATTTCAATTTTCTACCAATACAGACAATGCTGTGATGAACACTCTTGTACAGACAGCTTTGCATAGTTTTTCTTTTAATTATTTTTTTGGATTCGATATTTTGTTTTGCTTCTAAATTTTTATTTCACAGATGTCTTGCAGTAATGGTATTTTTAAAACAAGATTTTGAGCCTGGCCAGTGTGGCTCAGTGCATTGAGCATCATCCCATGCACTGAGAGGTCCCAGTTTGATTCCCAGTCAGGGCACATGCCTGGGTTGTGGGCTTGATCCTCAGTAGGGGCATGCAGGAGGCAGCTGATTGGTGTTTTTCTCTCATATTGATGTTTCTATCTCTCTCTCCCTTCCTCTCTCAAAATAAATAAATAGAAACATATAAAACAGAAACATTTTAAAATGAGATTTTGATTGAGGCTCCCAAAAGCAGTAGATGTAAAAGTCTGAGATAAATCGCTATTTGCAGATTTTTCTTTCTTTCTTTTTTTTAATCCTCACCCGAGGACATTTTTCCATTTTTTGTTCAGATAGAGTGGAAGAGAGGGAGAGAGAGAGAAACATTGACATGAAAGGGACACATCGAGTGGTTGCCGCCCACACGTCCCAACCAGGGCCAGGGACAAACTGCAACCGAGGTACATGCCCTTAGCGGGAACTGAACCTGGGTCTCTCTGGACTGCCGGCCAACGCTCTAACTGCTGAGCCAAACCAGACAGGACTGTTTGCAGATTTTTAAAGGAAATAGTCTAGAACTTGATTTATGTTCTCAGCTAACTGAACAAAATAAAACTGGATCAGAGTCAAGAGACTAGTGGAGCAGTTTCTCTGGAGAGGGCTGTTGTTGGGCTGGGGGAAGGGTTAGAAATCCCATCTTCAACCCCTAAGCTCTGTGAGGGTCTGCAAAGGGATCCTTCATGGAGCTCGCTATCTTTCCTGCAGGTGGACCAACGGTGGCCTGAGGCTAGAGGATTGGCTGCTTCAGTGGCAGAGCCAGGGGAGGTGGCTGCAATGGGACATCTGCATCCCAGAGTTTTCTGGGACCAAGGATGAGACCTACTTCCCAAAATTCAGATGTGGGCCAGCAGGAAGTCAGACCCAGCAAGGAGTCACCTAGATCTGCCTGACAGAACCAGCTGCTTGGGTGAGAAGACCTCATTTGCGAGGTGGCCCACCAGGGCTTAGGGGAGGAATGCAAGGGACCCCCTGGAATAGAGGGTTTCTTAGCCTCGTTGTGGGAACTTCAGAGGAAAGGTGGCCATGGGAAACTCCAGAGAAGTACGTAGGCTTCGAGGGAGAGGGAGAGATTGAGAGCTCTAAGCATCTGCCAGCCCCAGAGAGCCTTCAGCTGCACCAACTGTGACACCAACTCAAATAGGAGCTGTCTTATCACCTTAGCACCTCTGCCCTGGCCTCCAAACCAGCAGCTCAGGGAGGAGGTGTGGGGAGGAGACGCCACCTCATTCCTCTTTTCCCAGGGCAGAGGCCAGCTGGAGAGAGAGAAGATTTTCATGCTGGCTAAACCAGTATGACTTTTTGACTAATATATTGAATCATACATTTAATTACTGAATGGAGACTAGGTCTTCAAGTGCCCCTGGGAATGTGCGTGACCTAAGAGGGAACAGAAAATTAACGGGTCTGCTGGATTTTTATCCAGCATGGGGAACAAGTTCCACCCCGAGCAGATGTTAAAGGAACAGTGGGAGGAAAATTTAAGTTGTGTTTGACTGCCTCTAGAGCTGTGCTTATTCCAAACATTTTGGAGAAAGACCCTCAGCGCAGGTGCAAGGTGCACAGCGCAAGGGCTCTCAGAAGTTCTCCCCCTCTAGGTGGTTGTGCTGCCCTCCTGCCCTAGCCCTCTATTCATGAACAACCAGAAGTCCCTTGGTGAAACCACAGGACTCAAATCTCCTAGTAAGAAGTAACTCAGGGTACAGCATGTGACCTCTCCTGGCCACACTTGAGCAGAAGTGACAGGACAGCCTGGGCAGGTCTATATTTGGGCGTTCACTCATAGCAGGCCTGTTGCTATTTGCAGCCGGAGCCAGCTCGTGTTTCCATCTCCTTTGCTGCCCCATCACAGAACCCTGGTGTAACATAGGCAGGGGCAGCCCACGGGCACGCAGAGGTCACCGGGAGGGAAAGCCTCCGGAACTGGGGTGCAGTTTTCTAGCAGTTACCCATGGCCTCAGTGTTAAATGAAGAGTTTATGGATCCTTAAAATAACAGGCAAGTTTTTGGATAGTAATATTCTAATGCTAATTGTATTATTGAAACCCACTAACTTAGTGCCACAGTGTTAATGCAGTATCTTTCCTTTATGTGGAAGAGATAGCATTGTAAATTGCAGATGTTTTCAGTGCCTTCTTGTAGCAGGGATTCACCTTTGCTGAATGTGGTGTTGGTACAAGCTGTGAAGGCCTCTGATGGTGGGGAGTCTTGCCATGTGTCTTTAGAGTATTTTTAGTGCAGAGGTCCATTTGCTAGTACAGTTTCAAACCCTAATTGTGCATGTTGACAAAGCATAAATCCGTGCTTTGGTTCAAATACTGAAAAACAGCATTGTCATCATTTCTTACTTGTTATGTATGCCCCCTCCTCTCGTAGATAGTTGTCAGGTTTGGACCACGCCAGTAAAGCTGATTTGAACCATTTTGTGTAACAGTACAGCTAACACTTTCAAACAGGTTTCTTTAGCTGTCTGTGGCTCAGAAATTGCTTGGGGAGCTACATGGCTGAGCTTCTAAAATGATATGCAAAACTGTGTGTGCCCTTATGGGCTCATTTTTGGGGAGAGAATTCACAGCTTTCAGTAGATTCTTAGAGGCATCCATGACCCATAAAAGGTTAAAAAACATTTTGGGAGGACTTTTCTAATTAAAGCACAGGGACACACCTCCCGTATAAGACTTGCAGAAGTCTTTTTATTTTTAACTGTAGCTTATGACATAGAGTAGAAGCTATCTAGCTGATATAGTCATTATAGACTGTGATTTATTACTTTATTTCTCTAAGCCTAAATTTCATAATTTATAAAATGATAATTATTCATGTTCCTTTTCCCAAAAATTCTGAATTTTTTTAAATTGTTTTTTTCTTTATTGATTTTTAGAGAGAGAGGCAGGGAGAGAGAGAGAGATAGAAACATCGATGAGAGAGAACATCAATTGGCTGCCTCCTGCATGCCCCCCACTGGGGATCAGGCCCACAACCTGGGCATGTGACCTCTTGGTGAATGGGTTGATGCTCAACCACTGAGCCACACCGGCCGGGCGCAAAATTCTGAATATTTTGTTAAGAAGCTATTTGGATATAAAAGTTATGGCTGGGGGGGGGGTGCTAAACTGTACCTTAAAAATTATTTTTGCTTTTGTTATTTTTCTCAAAACTTTTTTCATATGTGTCATATTAGAATAATTTAATAATATTACTTTTTTTTTTTTTTTAAGCATTAGGTTTACTACAATTTTTTAAAAGGGGCCTTAGGAACTAGATTGTGATAATCATAACTTGGGGTATTTTCTAAAAATTATTGAATTGTGCACTTAAATCGGGAATTTTATGGCATATAAATTATATCTCAATAAAGTTATTTTTTAAAAGATATTAGGGAATAAGAGAAGCAGTTCATATAATTCCTAGATTTATGTAGAAGTATGTTGTTGATAAAGTATTTGTGCAGGTTAATGGTCACAGTATAGTACAACAATTCTGGTGGATGGAAATTTAGGCCAATATCGACATTAGTTATACCTGTTTGTGACTTGTGCCGTTAAATGGAAAAAACCGGCTTCTCTAAACAAAAAGGACCATCTTTTTTTGCGTGCATGGATCAGTGGTATTCAAGGTTTTTGTGCTTGTGAACACCTTTAGAACATTTCTGAAAATCCTCCAATCGAGAGCAAGCCCTTCTTTACAGATGTTTTGAAGTGAAATGATAACAGAGCTGATCAGATCATTTTTAAAAATTATGAATGAGTTGAGCCCAATCTAATGACTCTCTCAGAAACTAGTTTTCCCCCATCTTTCTGTGTACTAGGACTCAGGATATCCACTATTAACTGTCCAGGAAGGATCTGTCTAGTGCAGAGGTGCTGCCCAGGGCTTCCAGAGCGACAGTGGAGGAGGAAGCTGTCGAGGAGCCAGAGCTGGACAGGCCTTCGGCCCTCAAGGACCTCCACTTTCATCCTATGGATCTGTATGACTCTGGAGACAGACTGCAGATCTTCCCGGAAGAAAGCAGTCGGATGAGAAGAGAAGTCGTCCAAGCTGAAATGACCAGTGAGCCAAGAGGGGCAGTAAAAGGTAAGCCCCAAAGAGACCTTGAAGAGGACGTGGACGAACTTGTGCACTTATATGGACTTGAAGATGATGATGAATTAGGGGATGAGTTTGTTAACGTAAACACACCCAGAATAGAAATTTCAGAATATTCTCCTTACATGATGGCAAGGAGAGAAGCAGCCATGGAGCAGAGAGACTGGAGATGTAGCGGAGAGGCAGCTGAGGCTGAAGACCTGAGCTTTGGAGGGTGGGGCTCAGAGGGCCAGTGCCAAGACCTTCGGGAGGCCTACAGGTACACTCATGGCCGTGCCAGCGAGGAGTACGAGTGCTACGTTATCCCAGAGGAGGAGGACGAGGAAGAAGCTGCCGACGTCTTCTGTGTCACTTGCAAAACTCCAATAAGAGCTTTGGAGAAGGTTTTGGATGAACACAAAGAGCATGAGGTGATCCCACTCAGTAAAGCACTGGAAAGTGCCAAGGTAAGTAGGTCTCGTTAGTTCTTCTTTCTCTTGATATTGCATCTTCTTCTCAAGTAGGCAGGGAATAAGTCTCAGATGCCTTCTGCAAAACAGAAAGGATATAATAGCATTAACGTCTTGTGATCCTCTGTTTGATAGGATGAAATTCACAAAAACATGTACAAATTGGAAACGCAGATTATCGAGATGGAAAACTTTGCCAGTCACCTAGAGGAGGTTTTCATCACTGTGGAGGTAAGAGCACAAGATGAAGCCACTGGACACATGGTGCTTCTTCCATCCCTGTCTGGGTAGCAGCTGGGTCCGGGAGGAGTGAGAGTTTGTATTCTTAGAACATTGCTGTCACTGTTGCCCCTCTTCCCCGCCCTCCCACAGCGCCCTGGGCATACACCTCATGGAACCGATTACCTGGCAGCATCCCTACAGAACTATAAGCTCTCGGTAGGCAGGCTGTGTCTTTTGCATCTTTCTGTCTCCAGTTCCACTACCAGGCAGGACTCTTTTGTGGGCTAACCTTGACAAGGCTTTGCAAGAGCCCCATTCTGTCATTGATTAGCATTCCTTTCCTCAGCCATTATCTATTTCTCATAAGATGAATAAGTTTCTGTGTCTGTCCCCAAACGTATTACAAAGCCCTGGGGGTGCCCCACAAGTATGCAGCATATCACTGTGGTGCCATCCAGATGAGTAGACCAGGACTGAGGGCCTGGGACTGCCCTTTCCCCCTCCCTTCATGTGGACGTTCTACTTCTGTTAATGCCACCTGAGACTGAACCATCAGGAGATTGAACACTGAATTAACAAAGCCCCAGGTCCCTTTCCTTGAAGCTAGATCCTCTTTACCCCTAGTCTTAAAAGGGAGGAGAGGTATTGCACTAATCCCCTAGGGAAGGCACAGAGAGGGGGTAGTCCTTCCCTTTATAAGCACAAGGTGGTGGTAGGAGGGGTAAGTGACACTCTGAACGGCCAGCTCACTGTCAAATCAGAGTACCTTCACCTCAGAGGACTGAGCTCTTCCCTTTACCTTCAGCACTGGGGAGGCATCTACTGCTTTCCCTCCCTTCTGCCCTTCGGAGCAAGTCTTTTTTTTTTTTTTTTTAATCCTCACCCGAGGACATTTTTCCATTTTTTGTTCAGATAGAGCAGGAGGGAGAGAGAGGAAGAGAGAGAGAGAGAAACATCGATGTGAAGGGACACATCGAATGGCTGCCACCCGCACGACCAACCAGGGTCGAGGACAAACTGCAACCAAGGTACGTGCCCTTAGCGGGAACCGAACCCGGGTCTCTCTGGACCGCAGGCCGACGCTTCAACCGCTGAGCCAAGTCTTATACACACAGTAGATGCTCAGTAAACACCCACTGAATGATTGATTCTTTTCTTTGTAAATGTCCCTGTTATCTGGTGAGGATGACATCAATCAGAACCTGCAGAGCTCTCCTGGGGACCAGAGGTTGATAAGCTCTGATCAGTATTTCCCACCAATTGTGCTCCAGGATAAATGCTGTCATAACCTTCCTTCTGCCTTCCCCTTTTCTTTTATCTTTCCCTTAGCTGCTGTGGAAGATCTGTGTGGCCCTGGTATTTGTATAATCCACAAATCAGCAAGTGGATGTTGAGGGTCCCGAGATGTTGAGAGCTCAAGTGGGAGTCTCCCAGAGCAAACATCTCTGTGTTAAGGTCCAAGGTTCCAGTGGAAGGCTGACTCATCACTGATAATCACCTTGGATGGTTGTCATGGTGATGGGAGGTGGCAGAAACAGAGGTGGTTTGAGGGTGAGGAGGAGGATGGCAAAATGCTGCCAGGAAAGAAAGCAGTACTTTTTGTTAGGATTAGCCCTGCGGTTCTAGCTGGAGACTCCTGGTCTCAGGTCCCCCAGCATCCACTCCAGCATCCTGGCAAGAGATGATAAGATGACAGGGAGGGACTAAAACATCTCTGCATAAATAACACGTTCATGCCCCAAATGATTGTGGCTGATACATCCCACACACTGAACTGATGCCTGAGGTCCACTATCTTGCAGGAGAATTTTGGAAGACAAGAACAAAACTTTGAGTACCATTACAATGAGATCTTGGAAACACTTGCTCAAAAATATGAATCAAAAATACAAGCTCTAGTGGAGAAAAAGAAAGAGAGGCTGGAAGCCTTGTATGGACAACTGGTCAGCTGTGGAGAAAACCTGGATACCTGTAAAGAACTAATGGAAACAGTAGAGGAGATTTGTCATGAAGAAAAGGTTGACTTCATAAAGGTCAGTCAGGAAGTGAAAAGAAATAATGAACTGAAATGGCAGTTATGGCTGGAGGAGGTTAGATTGTCCCCTCTCTGCCCGGAGGTGTTGGAATCGACTTTCATGGTCAGCATCCATTTGATTCCACTGAATGTTGATGATGGTGGGGTTGTCACCCACAAGTGGCCAGGTGGGCTCATACCCAGCTGACCCCTTCCCTCCACCATTGCTCAGGTAACACCAGAGTCTCTGTTTCTCTGTCCTGGTTGCCTAGAGATCTGCCTCCCATCTCCTCTTCCTGGAGCTGAGCAAAAACAGTGCTTTGAGTTTTCTGGTCAATTCACATGGCCTCTTGGAGCTCTGTGGAGAAGGCTGTCCAGGTTAAGGCACCTCCAGTTTCCCGGTTACAAGTGCAGCGATTATACATCTTATTTCATAAACTTAGACGTGCAAAAAAAATCCACTTTATAATTTCCTTAAAATCTAATTAAATCTGATGCCAAGCCCGCATGCAGCTGGGCTATAGGAATTTCATCTCAGTCAGAGTCTGGTCCCCTTTGTTCACATGGCCCCACAGGAATATGGGGCAGTCCAGGATGTGAGGGAGGGGCGGGGCCTTCAGCCTCTAGAGCTTTCTGTTTGTCAAATATGGTTTCCACATTGACCAAGCCCATTGTGGTCCCTTAAAACCCATCAGCACCTCCTTCCAGCCACGCTTGGGGAAAGAGACCTGCAACCGAAGCTGGAAAGCAAGTTGGCAGACACTCTAGATGTCCAACAATAGAAGGACAGGAAAAAGATGGAGTTCCCCTTCAATAAACTGTTATGCAGTCTTTCTTTTTTGACTTAAAAAAATTTTTTTTTTCTTTATTGATTTTTAGAGAGAGAGAGAGGTAGGGAGGGGGAGATAGAAACACCAATGAGAGAGAACATCGATGGCCACCTCCTGCATGCCCCCCACTGGGGATCGGGTCCACAACCTGGGCATGTGCCCTGATCAGGAATCGAACTGGAGACCTCTTGGTGCACGGGTCGATGCTCAACCACTGAGCCACACTGGGCAGGCTGTTATACAGTCTTTCAAATTGGTGGTCCACAGACCATTTGTGACATGGAAAGTGCTTGTGTACTGTGAATGTGAAAAAGTCGTATGAGAAAAACTGCACAGGCTCTGTTGCAGTGACTGTTAGAGCATGGGATATGGCTGATTTTCTTCTTTTAATTTCCAAGCTTTTAAATATGTTTATATTGTTACATCGCTTTAAACATTATTTCCAAAGGCAATTTACTATTATCTTCCTTCTCCTCCTCTTTAGGATGCTATGGCTATGGCTGACAGGTAATACTTTTGTTCTCACATGTATTTTCTTCTTCTGTTCCTTTGTTGTATACTTCCAGTCTCAGCTTCTGTGTGTGCCCCTAAGATTAAATAGCACTGGTTTCAGAACAGCGATGAGGAGGCACAAGGACACTGTAGACCGAATCTCAGAATCTCAGAATCTCAGGGCTGGTAGGGAGTGCATGGGGAGGCCCAGCCCGCAAGCTCACGGTCAGATCTCCTCCATGAGCCCCTCGTTCCACCAGGGGAGCTGAGATCCTGAGAGTGCCCCCAGTGTTCCCAGCTGTGCCAGGACCCAGACTCCATCCTAGGGTCAGATGGGAGTTCAAGTCCTGCTGTCCTCATGACCATGGGTGTCCAACCAGTCTAGGACCCACCTTCCTTATCTACAAACAGAGATTGTTTTGTGGGAGTTAAATAAGACAATCTCTCTAATGCAACACAAACACTAAAGCTTAATACTGTAAGAGTTAGTAATAGGTGCTGGCAAAAGACAGATCTGGTTTCAGATTCTGCCCCTGCTACTTACAAAGCCCGTGACTGCCAGGAAGCAGATATGAGAAGACCCAGAGCCCCACTCCATGGTGGCCAAGCTGAGGGTGCTTGGCCCTGGGGAGATCCCCAGGGAGTCTGCACATCTTGGGCCTGGGGTGGTGTGGGGAAGGGAGCTTGTTGGTGCATGTCTCCCTACCCCAACTTTCTGACACCACCCGCCCCCCTCCACTCCCCTCTCACACGTCCCCACTGGAGACATCCTGGGTCAGTCACCTAAGCTGCAGAGTCCTCTTCATGTGTTACTAGTTGCCCGGTACAATAAAGAGACTCCGAGGAGGATTCCTCTCCATTCTGATTAGTGTGTCTTTTTATACCAACAGACTCAGACAGTTTCTGGAAACAAAAACAGACGTGGAAATCTCTGCACAGCCTGCCTTGGAGGACCAGAATTTGGACTTCTCTGATGTGGAGCAGCTTCTGGGCTCCATTAACACCATCCCAGGTGCTCCTCTCCCCTGGGTGTGCACGTTATAGCAAGTTCCAGTTTCCGAGCTTCGAAGTAGAAACTTGGATGGCTAGAAAACTCATAAAGATTTAGAAATGTATTTTTTCCCCTGGCTTCGTGTTTTTGTCTTTATGGCCTGTATGAGTGAGAACAGAGGCTGACCTCCCCGGGTAAGTGCCCACCCTCACTCTCCAGGGTGCCAACATCTGGCCCAGGGAAGCTTTGAAATAGTTTTCATTCACAGCTTGCCTCAGTTCATAAACACCACGTTCCTATCTGATTTACACCAAACAAGGAGCCTGACTTTTATTTCCTTACCAGCATTTTGGTTACAAGATGAGCTTTGGAATCCTATAGAGTTGGCAAGAATCCCAAGTTTGCTACTTCTTAGCTGTGTGACCTTAGACAATTGCCTAACCACTCTGAGCCTTGGTTTCTTCATCTATAAAATGGACATGATGATGCCTTGTGGGGACAAGTGGAGAACTGAATGAGGTGCTATATGCACATCACATCACATGGTGCCAGGCAGCTCCCAAAACCATTCCTTTGATTACTTCTTTCTGAAAATACTGGAATTCAGCTTTTTCTGATAGTTCGCCTTCCCTCCTTACCAACACCCAGCAACTTGTTAACAATGTTGTATATCTCCTTTTAGGTTTTTCTTTTATGCAGATTTTTAAAAACATTTTCTTTATTCGTTTTAGAGAGAGGAAGGGAGAGGGAGGGAGGGAGAGAGAGAGAGAGAACATCGATTGGCCTCCTTCTGCATGCCTCCCACTGAGGATCTGGCCCACAACCCAGGCATGTGCCCTGACCGGGAATCGAACCAGGATCTCTCAGTCCATGGGATGACGCTCAATCCACTGAGCCACATCGGCTGAACTTGAGTGCTATTCTTAGATTCACTGGGGGCAGCAGTGCTGGGAGTCCTGCTGTCCTGCCCTTTAGGATGGTATGGTAGGGTCAGAGGACCATACCTCGGGCAAGACTCGAAAACCATATGCCAGCCTGAGTACCTGTCACTGACCCCGCCTCCCCAATCTCATACTGATTTGTCAAAGCAGGAGGGGACATACTGGCTGTGGTCTGCAGGCTCCTGGTTGGGAGGCTTGGCTTCACATCGTTGTCCACTCTGGACTGCCTCGTCTGTTTCCTGAGCCCATGGGTGCACTGGGAAATCAGTGGTCCTGTATAAGAGGCCACCCCATCCCATACCTCTACTAAAGTCTCCTTATTGGTGTTTTTTTCCTCCCTTCTCCTTTTCTAGCTCCTTCTGCCCCAGTGATAAACCCACAGGCCCCCAACTCAGCCACAGGTTCCTCAGTCCGCGTGTGCTGGAGCTTGTACTCTGATGACACCGTGGAGAGCTACCAGCTGTCCTGCCGCCCAGTGCAGGAGGGCTCACGTGGGAAGGACCAAGCAGGTGAGACTGCCGGGAACACCGCTTGCTCCAGAATGGCTAGGGCCCCTCAGAGACCCTGGCCCTGCCTTCTTGGCAGTTGGGAAAGTGGGGATGGGATCAGTCTGCTCACCCAGCCCCTTGGAGCTGTCACCATCCAGGAACTACCCAGAGGATGTGATGCTGGCAGGTGAGCAAGGTAGAAAGGGCTCGGAAGGCAAGTTGGGGCCTGACTTGGGGGGACCACGAGGCCAGGCTGTGGTGTCTGCGGTGCACCTGCACTGTCAGGTCAGCGCTGTCCTCGGGACAAGTCTCTGGCTGTACTGTGTGCAGGAAGTGTGGGGACGCCCTTGCTTGAGCAGGCCCAGTTGAGCTGGTGGGTTCTATCTAGCAGGACCTGGCATGTGGGGACTGGCTGGCTCTCCTCAGAGCAGCCCTGTGTTGGAGAAAATGGAGGGTTTGTCTGCAGACCCCATTCCAGATTGACCCAGTGATTGGGAGTGATCTCCACTACGGGCAGCTCTTTTTTTTAACATCCTCACCCGAGGACATTTTTCCATTTTTTGTTCAGGTAGAGTGGGAGGGAGAGAGAGGAAGGGAGAGAGAGAGAAACATCGACGTGAAAGGGACACATCGAGTGGTCGCCACCCACACAACCAACCAGGGCCGGGGACAAACTGCAACCGAGGTACGTGCCCTTAGCGGGAACTGAACCCGGGTCTCTCCGGACCACAGGCCGATGTTCTAACCGCTGAGCCAAACCAGCCGGGGCAACTACGGGCAGCTCTTGACCCAGCCTCTTCCCAGGAAAATGGAACTGACTGGTGTGAGTGAGGGCTGGGGTAGCTGCACCCCTGTACCCTCTCCCACAACAGACAAGCCGTTTTCCTGCTGAGAGGGGAGGGTCAGGCACCTGAGCATCTGAAGGGATCGGATCAGGGCCAGCCTGGCAAGGACCATCCTGTGTGCGTGGGGTCAGAGTGAGAATGCTGGAAATGGACTTAGAGATTTCCATTTTATGGATGAGGAAACAGACCCAGAGAGAAATGAACTGTCCATGGAGACGGCGTGAGTTATGGTGGCACTAAGACAAGAATCAAGTCTGCAGGCTCCCTGCCAAGAACTCTGGTCGTTGTCCAGCTCGTGCAGGTAGAGGGTCTGAGTGCTGAAGGTGAGGATGGTTTTTCTGCCCAGGGACTAGGAAAGAAGGGAAATTCTTGAGAAAAGTAAGAGTACGTTTAAGCAGTGATGAGGGAGGGCAAGCGTGGTAGAATAAGGACTTAAAAGGTCATGGAGGGGAGAAGGGAGGTTGGGGACCAAGTCAGATCCTATTAATCACAGTTTATGCCATGACTGAACCCTGCTGGTGCCCTCTGTGACACACAGACGCCATTGTGTTAGGGCTGTGTGATAGCAATCAAAGATCTTTTAAATGGACCACTGTATTCTAAAGGAACTGATATCGGGGGTGGGTTAATGAATTCTCATTGCCTTTCAAGAGTCTGGGGAGATTTGCAGGTGTAGCAGTTAGCTTTTGCTGCATAGCAACACCCCTCACACGCTGATACACCACTTTGGCTTAAAATGACAAACGTTTGCTACTTCTCACAATTCTGTGAATTAGCTGGACAGCTCTTCTGGTCTGGGCTAGCTTGGATAGGACCAGATGGCCTAGGATGTCCTTGCTTATATATCTGGGGCCTCAGTTGGGATGCCTGGGATGACTCTGGTGGCTGGGGCCTCTGTCCATGTGGTCACATCCTCCAGGAGGAGGCTCGGGCTGGTTCACATGGAACAAGCTATGCAGCAGCACTTCCCAAGCTTTGGCTTACATCATGTTTGCTGTTGTCCCATTGGCCAAAACATGGCACATGGCACATGGCAGAGGGTGTGTGTACAGGGAAGGGAGGAATTCGTAGCCTGTGCAACCACTTGGCCTATTTTAGATTGAATTATTTTTTCTTTCTTTTTTTTCCAGAGTTTACAATGACTGTCAAAGAAACATACTGCTCAGTGACAAACCTTGTGCCAAATACCCAGTATGAGTTCTGGGTCACAGCTCAGAACAGGGCTGGTGTCAGCCCCGCCAGTGAGTGTGCAGTGTACATGACAGGTAAAGGGGCCCCTTGTTCTGTAGCAGGCCCTTCATTCAAGGGCACACAGGAGTCACAGCTTTTTTGATGTGACAGAGTCTCTATTTCATTTGGATGGACAGGAGTAGCTGTGCATTTTTTTCTTTAATATACCAGTCCTCACACCTTATATGTTAGGGACATTTTCTCGTAGTTGGTCTCAAAGTATTGGAAAGTATTGCTGTCGGTCACAAGGCCCTTTGAACCTTGCAGCTGTCCTCCACCCCAGGTACACCCGAAGGATTCCCTGGTGTCTGTCGGTTTGGCTGCTGTAGCAGAACTACAGACCGGGTGGGTTAGACACCAGACACTTCTCTCCCAGCCCTGGAGGCTGGGAGGGCCATGGTGCCAGCAGACTGAGTGTCTGGTGGACCATTGTGGTCCACAGGCAGCTGTCTTTCAGCTGTGTCCTCCATGGAGGAAAGGAGCAAAGGAGCTCTTTGGTTCTCTTATAATAAACCCCTCCACCCTCATGACCCAGTTTCCCCCCCCAAAGACTCCAGATGCCATCACACTGGGGACGAGGTTTCAGCAGATGAATTTGGGGCTGTACATATTCAGTCTGTGACACCTGGTTTTCTTTTTACTGTCCTGAATGTTTTCTTTGGAAATGTTTTCTGGACAGAGTGGCTGGATATGAACAGAGCGGTGGTTCACCTCTCCCTTTCCCCTGCATTTAGCACCTTCTCCCCCCGTTATAAAGACCAAGGAGGTCAGGAGCTGCGAGGAGGCTGCACTGATTTGCTGGGAGTCAGGGAACCTGAATCCTGTGGACTCGTACACGGTGGAGCTGACCCAGGCAGAGACGCCGGGAGCCTCGGGCGTGACTGAGTGAGTCACAGGGGCGTTTGCTGGGCATGGGAGGCCTCACCCCTGACATGGTGACACGACCCAGGAAATGTATGGAGTCTGCAGAGGTCAGAATTTGTGATCCACAGAATTTGCTTAGTTTTCATGAGAAGTAGCAGGAATGTTATTACTGAAGGTGAATGAAGAGTGAGGGATAAGTGAGTAAATGGTTAAACCTCAGGTTTGCTTTTTTTGCCCAAAGATTTATCATTCATTCATTCATTCAACAAGTATTGAGGGCCCACGTGGTGCCAGGGCCTGTTCCTGAGTCCGCGTGAATGAGACAGACAAATTCCCTGCCTTTAAGGAGCTGACAGTTGAGTGGGGAAAACAGACAAGAAACAAGAAAACAAATGCATAAAATGTTCTTTAAAAGGAGAAAGAAATGCAGGAAAACAGGAGTGGTGGATGAGGTGGGAAACTCCCCTGGACAGAGTGGATGTTTAAACAGACCTGCACTGGTGACCTGAATGGGTGGGAAGGACGGAGGTCTGAGAGCAATGGATGCAGGGACCCCCTGGGGGAGGCAGCTGCATGACTTGATGTGCAGGAGGAACTAAAAACTCACTTGCTGGACTAGAAAGGGGAGAGGGAGAGCAGCAAGAGGCAGAAACGATTAGAGTTAAGTGTACAAAGAATATCATGTCCATGGTAGAGGCTGTCTGGGAAACGCAGGTGTCCCCTGGTTTGAAAGGAAGGCCTGGTGCGTGGCCTTGTGGTAACTGCAGCTCTGCTTCTTGCCAAGGTCTGTTGTGGGCATCCCCACCTGCGCGTCCCTGGTGCAGCTGCAGCCCAGGCAGAGCTACACGATCTACGTGCGAGCCCTCAACGTCGGGGGCCCCAGCGCGAGAAGCGAGCCTGCCACAGTCCACACCACAGGTCTGCACCCCGGGCCACACACTCTGGGCTCCACAGTGGCCACTTTCTGACAGACTTAGCGCTGCTGAGACTTCGCTGGAAAATAAATAAGTGTTCTTAGGCCCTGGCCGGTTTGGCTCAGCGGTTAGAGCATCAGCCTGCGGTCCTGAGAGACCCGAGTTCGGTTCCCGCTAAGGGCACGTACCTCGGTTGCAGTTTGTCCCTGGCCCTGGTTGGTTGTGCGGGTGGCAGCCACTCGATGTGTCCCTTTCACATCGATGTTTCTCTCTCTCTTCCTCTCTCCCCCTCCCACTCTACCTGAACAAAAAATAGAAAAATGTCCTCAGGTGAGGATAAAAAAAAAAAAAGAAAAGAAATAAGTGTTCTTAGATAGGAACACATGGCAGACCAGGCTGGGAAGGGCCTCAGAGGTGGTCAAAGCCCTGTGGCCTCATTTTACAGATGGGGAAACTGAAGGTCTAAGTCACAGCACTTTTTGCCTGAACAAGTGTGAGAACTCAGGGTTTTTTCCATTCCCCTCAGGTGCACTAGAAGCTTGTCACACTGGACCTGGGTGGCCCAGACACCTCATATCTTTCATAGCCTGAACACCACCCCCAGGGGTGGGGTCTTCATGAAATTCCGGGAAGAGCCCTTTGCTGTGGCTCATCTCCCTGTTCCTGCCATCAGCCCAGGCATGTCCCCACCCACAGGCCCAACTTAGACTTGGCCACCCACCTCCTCCCAGGCCCTCTGTGAGTGCCCACACCCCCAAGTCCAGCACCGCCCTTCTCACTTGCCATCGTCATGTTATCAGATTGTCACATCGCATGTCCAAGTCTTGAGTCAGCAGGGACATCACTGGAAACATCCTGTACATCTGCTGTCCCTGGCTGCTGTGGCTCTGGGTGCTGAGCTTTGCAAGGTGCACTGAAGCCAGGTGGCTCTGCCCACCCCTCCCAGAGCCAGTCCAGCTCGGGCTGGCTCATTTAGTCTTGTGCAGGTAAGAAGCAGAAGCCAGAAGCCTGGGCCCAGGGCTCGGAGGACAGCGTTCCCTCTGCTGGGATGATGGCTGAGGGACACTGTGTCATTGTCCTCATTTCAGTGCCAGGAGGCGAGGTCTGATTAGTTCCCACTTACATTCCTTCCATACAGATGGGAAGACAAGTTAAGTGGCCCCTGCAGTGAGAGGTGTTAGTGCTGGGTCAGGGCTCAGTGTTTTCCTTTATTCTGTGCTGGATCCTCCTGTGCTTGGTTGCTCTTCTGGTTTCCTTTGCTGACTTTGTGCCAGACTCTGGCTATTTCAGTAAGAGAACAGAGTGAAAGGTATAGCCAGCTCTGGATCATATAGTTGTCCTGAATTAGTTCAAAGAATTTTAAAAAAAATATTTTTTCTTTATTGGTTTTAGAGAGAGAAAGGAGAAGGGAGAGGGGGAGAGAGATGGAAACATCGATGAGAGAGAATATCGACTGGCCGCCTCCTGCATGCCCCCGACTGGGGATCAGGCCCACAACCTGGGCATGTGCCCTGACCGGGAATCAAACCAGTGTGACCTCTTGGTGCAGGGGTCGATGCTCAACCACTGAGCACACAGGCCAGGCTGTTTAAATTATTTTTTAAGACTGTGTTTTTTAAAAACTCAAAAGAACATGAATCAGCAAAAGACATATTTAAAACTGGTGCTTGTTTGAGATGAGGCAGCGGACCCAGAGGCCATGTGTGTCAGCTGCCAGGTGGGAATCTGCCTGCTTCTTGCCAGTCACCTCAGATGGCAAATGACATTTCCAGCAGCATTGGAATGCAAAAATAATTATGAACAGCTTCATGGTGATGCTTGAACGAGGGTTTGAGATGATGAGAGGTGATAGAATGGGAAGTTACAAGAATTTGGCTGAGAGACAGTGATGGAGAATGAGCCGCACTGGCTCTGGGAGGGGAGGGAGGAGCCACCTGACTTAGTGCTCCTTGCGAAGCTCAGCACTCAGAGCCACAGCAGCGCAGGGACAGCAGATGCACAGAAGGATCCCAAATAATGGTTTTTTAGTAAATAATTTTTAATAAATATTCTGTACCACTTCCTAATGAACTTTGTTTTAACCATGACTTGGGGATGATGGCTATATGTCACCCCACTGTTCTAATTGAAAGTTGAATGTTGAAATTTGCTTATCTTTGTCATATTGATCATTAAAAGTTCCCACCGCTCCTGTTTCCCTGTGGGTTAGAAATGCCTGTCCACGTGCAGCATTCACGGCCTCCCTGTGCAGAGCACAGCCTCCGGCATCGGGCTTGGGGTTCACATTTGAGTCCTAGCATTTGCCAGCTGATTTCTTAACCACCTTACCTCAGTTTTCATATCTACAAATGGAAGTAATAACACCTGTTTCCAAGGGTGATTGTGAGTCTTGAGCGAGATAAGACATGGAAAGTGTCCAGTACCTGTGCACTGCCATCCCCAGGGGCACCGGGGTTCTCATGCGAGGACCTCGCTGGCGCCTGATTCTCAGGAAGCTAAGCAGGCGACCTGGAGTGCTCCCTGTGCCCACGAAGCAGCGACGCTGAGAAAGGAATGACTGGCTGCTGATCACCCACCTGGGTTTGCTCCCCTACAGGCAGCTACTTCCGCCTGAACGAGCAGACCTGCCATCCCTGGCTGACCGTTTCTGAAGATGGGCTGACAGCTGTACGAAGCGAGAGGAGGACCCCTGCAGGGGAGCCACCCCCCAGCAACACCCACTTTACCAGGTCGGCACTGCATCCACCGCTCACTGGGACATTCTGTGAACCTCCCTCACATACGCTGTCGTTGGGGGGAAATCGGGTTATGGCAGATGCAGCTGAGGGGAAGAAACCCCAGAAATAAATGAGGGGAGAGGACCTGCCCACTGATGAGAGGAGACTGGTGCAGCAGAAGAGACCTGCGTGAACTCTGAGGTCCAGCCCTGGGCTGTGGGACCTGGAGGAATCAGACCACAAGCCATGGCGTGGGGGTCGCATTGTCAGGCGGTGGGAGAACTAGGGCTCTGGTCTCCTGCTGCTTAGTCCAGTGCTGTTCCTCCCACACGCTGAAGCCCTGTTTAAACTCTGATGAAGGACTGCCCTGCGGTGAGCCCATGCAGAGCTGCTGGGGAAATGCTGATCGTCCTAAGGCACGGTGTGGGGGAGGGGCGGGCCACCAAGAAGGCTCTGTCTAGACCTGGGGTTACTTCTAGAGCTTGTACTCAGTTAATGTTGAAACAACCTTACTTCTTTCCAAAGACTTAAAATAAGGGGCAAATGAAAGTGTGAGAGAAAATGAAGGACAGACCAGTTAACTTCAAGGCCTGATTTTGTTTCCATGGTTGAACATTAAATGTAGCTCGTAGCTTCCAGGTAGTCATGACAGAAAGAGGTCTTGGTGGGTTGATTTTAGAGCCAGGGAGGTCTTCTAAGGAAGAAAAATGACTCTCCTGTGGGGGCTGGAAGGGTCACGATGGAGAACTGCATCCAGCTTCCCGGCCTGGGTCCTACTGTGTCTGCAGCTGGCTCTCCCTCTGACGCTGGCTCCCTGCACGTGTGTGAGCCTCTGCCGGATGTACCGTTAGCATGGAACAGAACTGCACATGGCACAGCAGCAGTCACCTCAGCCTTTCCGCCTCTGCCCGTTCAGCCCAGGGTGGGTGGCATGGAGAGGAGCGAGAAGCAGTGAGGGTCCTGCTTGTGTTAAAAACCAGAATTCAACTAAGTAAATTTGAAAGATCTTAATGGCTTTATTCAGCAATTCATGAGTCGGGCAGCATCCCATCTAGCAGGGAGCAAGGAGCTCCGAGGAGCCATGCAGAATGAAGTGACTTTGTGGGTCCCTTGATTCTTGAGGTTTCAGCCCCTTTCCTTTTCTATAAAGTGAACCAAACCCATTACTAAAAAGCCCCATCATTTAAAAAAGCAAACAGAGCCTTTTCTATTGGTTTATCTCCTCTTCCATTACCAGCAGTGTCATCATCTAACCTCTAGTATCAGTCAGGTGAGCTTGGAGAGCTCAAGGTGCGCCACTTTACAGGTGAGGTGCTCACACCTATCTCCACTCAGACACACCATCTACTGACTGACCCCAGCAGTCACTCACCAGCACAGCCAGGCTTGGGTCACCTCAAGTCATGTGTTTCCACTTTCTAAAACCAGGTGTGTTGCTGTCATGGGAGACCTAATTCCAGTCCGAGGGCGCCACTACTGGGAGGTGGAAGTGGATGAGCATTTGGACTACACAGTGGGTGTGGCCTTCGAAGATGTTCCCAAACAGGAAGAGCTGGGAGCGAACTGCCTGTCCTGGTGCATGAGGCATACGTGGGCGAAACCAAGGTAAAGCAGTCTGGACACCCAAGACCAATATCTGCTATTGAAAGAATGGAGGTTTGCATTAGCAAAAATAAGGCCTACAGTGTGTGTTATAGCCTAAGATATAGCAGGACTCATTACCACCCCAGACAGCATTCTTCACCGCTGAGCAGTGGGTTTTCATCTGTGCTCGTCTTCAGTGTCATGAAGACAGTTGGATTTGAAGCCCCAGTTCCATCTTTTAAAGTAAATGTGGGCAGAGACTTAATGGGAATGGCTAACTCTGGTTTGCTTCTGCTGCTAAGCACTGTCCTTATACTAGTTCCACAAAGCTGGGAAAATCCCAGAAGGCCCAGGGCAAGGACACTTTCAGACCTAGAAGGCAGCCTTCATTGTTCTGACCTCCCTTCATCTCAAAAGTTGCTCCAAAAAGATCACCACACCACCTTCCCAGCACCCTGGCACTATGGCCCTCTGGCCCTCATTGTCCTGCTGAATCCTATTAACGTTTCATCTGACGTTCTGTGCCCATGAGCCTCCACTGTGGTTAAACCTTGTCATGCTCCACTGTATGTAGGAAGACCAGTTTTCCCCCTAAAGACATTTAGACTATAGTGGACTCTTCTGCACCTTAGACCCAGTGGGGGAATGTAGGGAAATACTGTGCACTGAGCCAAATACTTTATTTGGAGATTCTGCCTGCACAAAGACTAGAAATTGGTCTCCTCTCCTAGGAGGGTAAGAACAAAGACTAGAAATTGGTCTCCTCTCCTAGGAGGGTAAGAACAAGGGCAGAGAAAAATGGGAGGAGTGTAAAGGAAGAGTAGGTGTCTGTGTACTGGTGAGGTTAGAAGGCAGAGGGGGCAGGAACATGAAACAGCATGAAAAGGAAGACAAAGCCAGCACTGCCGCTGGAGCAGAATATTCTTAGCCCCATCTCGGAAAGATGTACGAGACAGTTATGAGTGGAGGATGAAGTAAGGTTTCCTAGCTGACTTGTATTTTTTGGTTCAGTCTTAGACTTTATTGGTGGTGGGAGTGAGGTAGAGGGAAGGACTCATTTAGCTTCTGGTGGCTGCTTAGTTAAAAAAAGCTGAGGGGAGGACGGGTAGACTGGGATGGAGACAGGCCAGTTGGCTCTGACATGTTTAGATTGTACATTGTGTTCTTCCCAATCATGTGAACCAGCATGTTGGCACAGAGATCTTTAAATGTCTGTAGGTAGCAGGGTTAGGGAATTCCTGGGGTTGGTTTTGGTTTCAGCCATTTTTTAAAGCACATAGGACACAGCATGGTAAAAGGGTGCTGGAGCCATATAACACAGACCAGTGACAGGCCCCCAGGATGCCCTGCTGTTTGGAAGTTTTAGAATTGGGTGCCTTTGAGCACTTTGTGCACAGATTATACCCAAAGGCCCATCCTGTTACATGAAAGACCACGACACTCCCTGTTTTCAATCTCTTTATTACAAAGGATTTTGAACCTCAAAATCCAGAATTTTAAAACATATATCTATACAAATTTGGATGCAATATGAGTTTATAACACTGTAGGTTAAGAGGTTGCTGAAAAATCAAGTTTCAAACACATTTTTTAGGACAAATTTTAGAAAAGAGATACAGAGAATAGTTATAGAAGTGGCTTGTTACTTTGGTAGTCATTAATAAAAGAACATAAACATAGGAGAATTTGAATAAAGCTATATAAGTTCTGAAAATAACCATCTACAGAATTTCTTAAATTTTGTTTTATATATATATATTTCAGGCATAAGTACGAATTTCTACACAACAAGATGACTCCAGACATAAGAATAACCGTTTCCCCAAAGAAGATTGGCATTCTATTAGACTATGAAAATTCAAAATTGTCATTTTTTAATGTGGACATTTCTCAGCATCTATACACATTTAGTTGTCAGCTTCACCAGTTTGTGCATCCCTGTTTTTCTTTGGAAAAGCCTGGGTGTCTAAAGATACACAATGGCATTTCAATGCCCAAGCACGTCACTTTCTACTAGACCAGTCTGTTGCCCAGCTCCTTGTCTGTCTTCTGTACCCTCCTCTGAGCCACTCTGCCTCAGCATTCAAGCACCGTGCACCAGCACAGCTTACGGCTCATGTCACCTGCAGATGGTGTTCCGGCAGCGCTTCCCCAGCCTGGGTTTTGTCTTGTGCCACCTGTGAGATTCTGTTAGTCATTACTGGGCCTGGCTGTAAAGTGAGGGCTCAGACTAAATAAACTCAGAGGTCCCTTGGCTTGTCAAATGGTGTTGGTCTGTTTGTGTTTATGCAAAGTATCTAGTCTCTAAGGCCTACTGAGACCGGGGGAGAGAAGGGGAAGAGATGCGTGAATGTCAATGGATGCAACAGCCCCAGCGTGCTCCATTCATTAGTCAGCCAGGAACAGACCTGAGAAGGCAGGAGGTTTTCCATAGAGAACTGGAAGCCATGTGCCGTCTCCTCTCCTGTTTCCTAGTAATTGGCAGCACTGTGATGAGGTACAAGCTCTGTAACACCATTCCTCCTCCATAGCACTCACCCTGTTCTAATTTGTGAAATGACTTCTATGCCTATTCCATGAAGCAGGGACAGTGAGTCTTGTTCATCACTCGGTCCCCAAGGGCTAACACAGAAGGTGCACACCAACTGTATGTTGAATAAACCAGGATTTTGTTCGTCTAACCCTGCTTTTGGTCCTTTCTCTGCCCCCATGTGAAGGGCGGTAGGGCTCTTTCAAAACCTAACAAAGGACCTGCAGGTGGAGAACCTGGAAGGGAGGCAGGAAGGAACAGGAGGGCACCTGTGGCTCGATGGCAAGACTGGGGAGAATGGAACACCACTTACACTGCACACTTCCTCGTGTCACAGACACCTGTACATAAACACGGTACTTTCACTGTGTGTATGGGGGAGGGGGGGTTATTGGGGGAAACGTAAAACATTAGTTGTAACAGATTCTACGAATATCCTGTAATGTAAAAACCAGATCTGAAATCAAAACCTAGGTGTGATTGCTACTTTGTAGTTACTTTGCCTTATAATCCTAGAAAAGTCACTTTACCTTCCAGAGCTTCCGTTTCCCTTTCAATAGAAAAAAATACTATGTTTTTGACTCACAGGATTGGGAGGTTTCATGACAGATGTGAGAATGCAGAGCAGTGGATGGCATATAGTAAATGCACAACAATTTCTTAAAAGAGAATATCACCCTACCAAGTGCAAAGCTGAGCCTGGTGGCAGAAGTGGTCTCCAGCCAGGGCCCTGGGCATCCTGCCTCACTACTCTCATGCCATTCCATGACCTCAGTGCCCGGCCCCACTGCCTGCATTCCTGGCTCTCCAGTTCAAGTTTCTAGTTGCCACTGAAAGCTCCGCAAACACAGCAGTTTCAACCTTTGAGTCAAGATGCAGAGTAAATGACTCCATTTGTGAAACAATTCCCAGAGGCAACCGAGTATTGTGCCCCATGGAGCCTCTCTGAACTACAGTCCATCATCTCATCACTTAAAGTTTTCTGTTAACTGAAAAATCTTTCACTTTAAACAGTCATGCTCAAAGTCTGACACATTGAACACCTCTCATCTCCTGTCTCAAAACTCTGCCTCTTGTTATAAAGAGCAGCTCAGATTCCTGAACTAACAACTCACCTTTACACACACACACGCGCGCACGCGCGCACACGTGCACCTGCCCTGCCAAAATGGATCACTACCTGCAACATGGAAGACACTGCCCATGTAAGCTCAGAGATGCTGCAAGCTGTAAACAATTACAATATACATGTGCATATACTGAAAAATGTTCTCAGCTCCTGGAATAGAAACTAAGGAGTAGGAAATAGGCTATTCACAGATAAGGCCAGTTTGAATTCAGGGTTCTCGTGGGCTTTACCAAGTACTATACAAACAACATGAAAGTGGATAAAATAGATTTGACACTTAGAAGGTTTTAGGAAAATTTTATTTGACCAAGAATAAAACCCATCTAGAAGTAGCTTTGACATTTAAAATACACTTCATGTAAGCAAAGCAGATGACCAATTTCAAACATCACAGTTATTTACCATAAAGAATTTTTGTTTAAACTGTTTCTTCTACAAGGAGAAATGTCTAGAACAGAAGCAAACAAAACTTTCGTTTTCTTGTAAAATATTCCGATTCCTTAAAATACAGAAATAATCTGCTGAAACTAAACTTCCACAAGGGGCAGGACTTACCTCAAGGCCATGTTCACATGCAACCTGCAATCTGTTAAAAAAAAAAAAAATTTTTTTTAAAGCCAAACCAGCCCAGCCAGTGTGGTTCAGTGGTTGAGCGTCGACCCCTGCACCAAGAGGTGGCCGGTTTGATTCCTGGTCAGGGCACATGCCCAGGTTGCAGGCCAGATCCCCAGTAGGGGTCATGCAGGAGGCGGCCAATCGATGTTCTCTGTCATCGATGTTTCTATCTCTCTTTCTCCCTTCCTCTCTAAAATCTATAAAGAAGAAAAAGAAAAAGCCAAACCATTGTAGCCACAATCCCTGACACTGGGCATTTAAAACAAAAGACATCAAAATCTATTCTTTTCTTGGTTTTACCTCTATCACTTTATAATTACTGAGCATTAACGTAAGCTTGGCTTCTGTCAACAAAGGGGAAAGAGAATATGTGGTAAAAAAAAGCCCAAAATCTTGGTATAAACTAACAGGTTAGTAATTCAGAATACTCATAATTGAAGGCACCCTCATTACATGGGACTAGAAAGATGGTTAGACTTGGCATATAAAATGACATTGGTTTCTGGTATAAATTGCCTTTTATTTGGGAAAGTGTATGCTTAACAGTGACTTCTGCAGGTTCAAACAATGATATATGATCACTTGTACACATCCAATAAAATATTTCTGAAGCACATCATATAAGCAGAGCAACTGCATGGGCAGTGAGGCCTTTTTAAAATACTTCTCACCCTCCAAAATTTGTTAAAATCCTAATCTTATATGGCTCACACAATGACAGGGGCCCCCAGCACAATTCACCACAATGTGTGTGGCCTTCTGTCAATGAGACTATGTGGGTGTCTATCCAGGGAGGTTTAGCTACCGGAAAACTTCCTGGACCCACTGAAGACTGCACCACAGGAAAGGTCCTCTCCTCCTTTTTTCCTAAACGTCTCCAATTTCTGGTCACTTGCTATCACTGAATACAGTAAGATTCTCATGGGTTCACCCTGTCTTTCTCTACCCTTTCTAAACTATAAATTTACCACTGCTATTCTATAGTAAGACAATGGAAAGTACCTAATTGTTGTTGGCAGATCAGTAGGTCTTGGATTTATTTTGCAAAGAAGACCTGTTCTATCTACCTTTTTATTTAGGAGGCTAAAAGCCGAGTCAGCTTGACTTCAAGGACTCTATTTTCTTAGTCTCCAGAAGAACACAACCAAGTAGTAAGATTTCCTCTAGGTGATGCTAACAGTTTTTCAAAATTTGCTAATGTACAGGTTGTCTTCTAGACCTCCAAGGCTTGCTCACGCCCTATAAGACATTTCCATTAATATGAGAGATGTAATACACAATACATTTAAATGCATGCGTACCAAATGCAACGTTACCTAAGAAGACAGCTGAGGTTTGCAGCGCATTCTACAGCAGCTTACCTAGACTTACGAGGAACTTAAAGCCCTTTATAACTGGTTGCTGATTCAGACAGCCTTCTGGGTAAATGTTTCCACAGGTGGTTACAGCAAGCATTCATAGTGAGAGCTCAGATAATAAATAGTTCGCTGAAGTCTTCCAGGATGAGCACATATCTATGAAACCCCGTTTCTGTGTAACAGGCAACATATTGTTACATGTTGTTACTCCACATGCATTGCTGAATAAGAATGACAGACGTGACACGACTTATCTCCATCCATAGAGTATCTAAAATGTAGATAAAACATTCTAACGCCTGACATGTACTGACTCTGCCTTTGATGGAGTGTGAACTGCACCTAAACGTAGGTACATCCTCTTCCCTCCTCCTCACTACCCGCAGAAAAAGAACTGTTTAGCAATCCAAAGAGACAGTCCCGTGTGGAGGAAAGAATTCTGGGCTGGAAATGGAGACAGCTCGCTTCCAGTCCCGGCTCTAACAAGCTGTGACTTCCAGCCTGTCTCCTCTCACTGTTTCCGTTTCAACTGAGCCAAGGGGGATGGATGCCTTAGGTGGCTCTTTCCGCCTCTGACACCAAGTAACTTTGCTGGCAGGTTCAGAACGCTTCAAAATGACCAAATTAACACAACAGAAGCTGATGCCTGGAGCAGGGGTCACCGATTCCGAGTATCTGGGTTCTTACGGGCCCGGACGTTACGCGACACGGGATATCGCCGATATGGAAGTCCCTCTGCTAAATTTTTAAAATTGTAAACTTTCTCGGTGAATTCCTCCCTTCCACACCTATCCCCACCGCTGCTCCGTGCTCGCTTTTCAGACCAGCTCGAGAAAGCTGAGCGTAACGAGTTAGGATGTGATCCTCCATCGCTGGTGGCGCCAACCGCTGCCCTGAACTCCGGTTCCCCGCCGCATCCCCGGACGCCCGACCCGCCAGCCTGCCTGTGTCCGAGGACGCGCTGTCCCCCGTCCCGCCGAGCGGCCTTACTCTACGCGACAGACGCAGCCTGGCCCTCATTGTCTCACCGCCATCGCAATTCCTGTTTTCTCCCGGCGGAAAAAGCTCCTTCCGGTTTCCGGGGCCTGAGGAGGAAGTCCCGCCCCCCGCGGCCGCGTGACGTAATAGACGCGACACGGCGCCGCGCGCCGGCTCAGAAGGGATGAGGCAGGTGTCGCCGACACTGAGGCGCGCCAGGAAGACCCACGGGGGTCGAGCGGAGGGGCAGCTGGACTGGAGGTCGTTGTTGCTGGGTGGGAGGCGTGGGGCGAGGGCCTGGAGCGGCTCGGGGCTCCAGCGCCTCAAAAACTCCCTCCTCTCAGGGCGACCTCCCTCCCGTCCGCTGCCCTTGTTTCTTCTTTGCTCCGCCCGCCACTTGTGTGTAGTTTCTCTTGTTTATCCGCGTGGCCCCACGTCTTGCGGTGCGAACGCCCACCCCTCGCCGAGCACTGGCTGCGCAGGCGCTCCTGCGAGCCGGGTTATTCTGGACCCCGCCGGGGCTCCCTCCCGTTCCCAGGGATGGCGGGCGTAGGAAGACGCATTAGAAACGGCCACAGCCCTCGTTTTTGTCAACTAAGGCTGCCGTTACTAAGTCCCACAGGCCGGGGGGCCTGAACAACAGACCTCTGTTCTCTCATAGGTCTGGGGGCTAGAAATCTGGAAAGAAGGTGTCAGCAGGACCATGCTTCCTCTGAAACGGGGTACATTTCCTCCTTGCCCCCTGCTAGTTTCTGGTGGTGTCCAGCAGCCCTTGGCTTACAGCTACTCCACGCAGGCCTCGTAATCCTGGGCTCGTACTCTGTGTCTCCCCGTCTCAGTCTTTTCTCTTAAAAGGACACCAGGCCCTGGCCGGTTTGGCTCAGCGGTTGGAGCGTCGGCCTGCGGTCCAGAGAGACCTGAGTTCAGTTCCCGCTAAGGGCACCACGTACCTCGGTTGCAGTTTGTCCCCGGCCCTGGTTGGGTCTTGCAGGTGGCAGCCACTC